GAGGTAAAAATATTTCCGCAGCAAGGCACTAGAGGCAAAAATTCAAAGTGCCCAATATCACTAGATTAGAAGATGAAGCAATGATGTGTGAAGTCTTATAAGGTTCGTGGAGGCCCTATTTCCTTCCATTGTGTGACAGCTTATTTTTTTTTTTATTCTAACATGTACTTCATTTATATTTCAGCTTAATTCAGCAAACAATGCCTCCACTGATCTTCCGGCATCATCAACTTATTGTGGCTGGCAGTAAGTTTCTAGGTTGTGACTGGGGCTGCATTTTACATGGAAGAGCCAAAACCAATATTCATGAGTTCATCCGAAAAAATACAGAGGTGAAAACTTGGATAGTGTTGGCATCCAGCACCAGATTAATTCAGGGCAGACTGTGTAGAGCTCATGGCTTGCTCCACCAAAGGAGGAACCGAACTCTTTCAGTAACAGTTCCGCAGGCTCAAAACAGCAGGTGCCCCTCAACTTCAGTCACCCATGCAAGGTCTTTGCTTGGTGTCACAGCAAACCCTGGATGGGGATACCTGGAAAGGACGCTTGTTTGGAGAGCTGTTAGAATGAGTCACACCAAAGGCTGTAATAGTGATGCACCTGTTGTCTTTGTGACCAAGACTCCAGCAGGTGGCAAGAAAAGTCACAAGAAGCAAGCCGCTGAGCCAAAGTCCCCGGTGATTGCAAGGCCTCGGACCAAAAAGCCAACAAGGTTGGGAGTTCAAGATAGAAAGGTTTGTTGAATTGAATTGGTAACAGGAGTGTTCATTTCTGCTTGACTGAATGAGGACTTTGTCATTAAGGTATTGCATTATTTTGTACATTTTTATTTTGAACAATGAAGAAAAGTTTCGCAGAGCTCGTCACATACGTGTTTACAGAGCCTCAGCAGCTGGAAGATGTACTTGATGATGACAATTACAAAAGTGGCCTGCACAAGCTTGTTCTGATTCCCTATGCAAAATTCTGTTTGTTATATCTTAGCCTGTATGTATCAGTTGAGAACGTTTGTTACTCCTTATGGTGGGGATTTTCCCTTCAAAAGAAATAAAAGCAACTTTTTCAGTGCTCCCGATAACCTTGAAAATAATATTTGTGTACATAAATGCAAAGTTTGAGATAGAAAAAACCAGATACAAATTGTATCATCTGTAACAAATTATTTTAATTTCAAGGAGCTGAGTTTCATTGCCAAATGCAGGTATTTCTTCATTGTTTGTTTTTTTTCTAGGATTTCCAGGGCTCCTGGCTGTGCACTGCCTTCTCAACTGCTGAGGAATATCACTTAGAGCATCTCGGTCTGGACCTACAGTCCCAGGGATCCTTCCTGCCGAGAGCAATGCCTCAAGGTCAGGCCAAGACTCAAAATGATCGATAGGAGGTACCCTATCTGACATGTCTGAGAGCATTGATTCATCATGTAGACAATGTTCTAAGATTAATTTGGGTACCTGTCAAGAAGTGGTCCCAAGTTGACAAAATAAGTCGCCTATCCATGGATGAGTTTTTATTGTATGTCGTGGTCTGTATACATTAAGGGTAGAGAGTGTCCATTTACGTATAAATGTACATTAGTGAAACCACTGCTGTACAGAGAAAAATAAAATGAAAAGGCACCAAGTCAAGTTTGTACATGCTGTACACTACAGCGTGCATCAAGTCACGCCTGGGTTCATTTTGCTTTGGCCGTATGTTTAAACATCTTTAAGTCGCAACATTATTCTGTCAGCTATTTACAGGACAGACAGGCTTCGGATTTTGTGCTTATGGAATGAATTAAAAATGACAACCAATTATGTGAAAATACAGCTGAAAGAAAGGACAAGCAATGTTTGTCCTTTTACTTTTGAGTATTTTGTACCTGGGACTGGACTGGACCAAGGGAAGCTTGAAACCTTTTTGTTTGAAACTTACATTTTGGACTGAAATAAGTTTATTGCACCGGAATTGCGGCATGCATAGACTGCTAGTGCATCTAATGAATGCACACGCCAAACATTTCAGCTCCCCATACTATACACCCTGCGACCACAAACCAGTCTACTCGGATACATAGTACCTGTATGTGCGTGCATGTACCTACATGTAAGTGTAAGCTACCTTGCAGTTTAACTTGGGCTTATGCTGTGTACATGGTAAGACTAACGGGCACAAATCATAGTTGCCATCAACGATAAGAATTAGACATTTGGTCGCATATCGGCATTTTTAGGTGCATTCAACTATTTTGATGCAGTGCATCCTTGGCGGTCAGCCACACTGATTTGCCATTCAGCTTCATGATCCTCTAAGATCCTCCCAAACTGTCCAGGGAATTTTGGAGGATTGAGGAAGGTTAGGGTCAACACTCCAGAATTGTTCAAGAGTTGGAGGATTTGGGGACTGTTACGTCAAGGTTAATGTATTCTCTTTACTCAGATGCGCAGGATGTTCTGTTGATGGAGGTTATTTCCTCGGATGTAGAAAGCAAGACTGAACCATCAGAAATTTTTTTCTTCCGTGAAGGGTCTGTTGTCTTCTGGAATGTGGCTGATGCAACAGTGGGTATCACTGTAAAGTCAAAGCTCGTTAATAAGAGCACTGTTGATACAAGATTCTGCTTATAACGAGGACATTTTAAGGTCCCAATCCTTTGTTTTTCATTGTTTTCATTCCTGATAATGCAAGGTTCCTGTTATAACAAGGGAAGAAGTCTGACAGACCTCTTATTAATGAGGTTTGACTGTAGTCATGTAACAGAAATTACCTGTTCCAAGAAAACCCATCAAGCCTGTGTTCACTTGGTGGGGAGATTGAAGAGTCATGGGGTCTTGCTGTTTTGTAACTGCCAGTGTCCTTGTTTCAAATTCAACTTGATGTTTGTTTATTTTCCAACTATTTTCCATCAGCTCTTTAAGGCTTTCGCTTCATATTTTCCATCAGCCCTTTAAGGTTTTCCCTTCATGTTGAAAAGATGCTTTGCATTCTAGCTAATGCAAATTTATGCAAACTTTGACATCATGAAAACATTTGCAGCCAAATTCTTTAAGTTCTAAATATATTCATGTGCCTGAAATGTAACTTTGCAATGTGAATACATGCTGTGATATCAAGAAATTTCACCCACAAGCTGGCACAGTGGCACTTTCCTTGCCGTCAACTCCTGCAACAGAAAGTTGAAATCCTGTCTAGGTCAGCATGGGAATAAGGTTTTCAATTCCCACCTGATTCCATGGCTCTTACCTTGAATGTTAACCCCTGGTCTTTCCTCCCACCTGAAATACAATTTAGTGATTTTTTGTTTAATGTCACTTGTAATCATCCTGTAATTGTTGCTTCCACTATCAAATGAACACAAAATCGAACAAAATAGAAATTAGATAAATTTGCATGCATTTTTGCATAAATGTCTTGAGTATGAAACGGCCATATGACGTATTCAGTAACCCCCATGAACAGAATCTTTGCTACATTGTAATCCCATTATTCAGTTTGGTTTCTGAACTGGTTACCCTTTTTTAAGCTTTTAGTTTGACTCTTTAACTTTGCCTTTTTGTAGCTGAAGAAGGTGCTACGGATTGTCAGCAAGCATGAGTTTCAGCCCTATGAGGTTGCCATGGTTGCGTGGGAGAATGAGCACATCAACTATTCCTATGGCAGGTCTGCACATGTCTTTGCATGTTCTCTCAAGAATTCTTTAAAGTTGTGGTATTGTTGGTTCAGTTTGGAGTTTCAGAACTTGAAATAATATTACTTAGGTTTTTTAAAGAGGCTAGGCTTTACGTTAAACTTGGCCATAATTGTTTCCTCTTGCCGTAAGAAGAAAGCTTGTACATTTATATCGCAAGAAAAAACCACAGATTACATGTTAGACACTGAAATATTTCTGCTTCCCTTCAATCAATTTTCGTGTTGTTTATTATCTTTGTACTTTTAGTTCGGTTTTTTTTTTTTCAAATTGTTTCAGTCAGGATACCAAACTGACTGATGATACTATTATTCTGGATGAGCGTGCTGATACAGAAACAACGATGCTTGAAAAATTTGCCTTTTCAAATGCGATGGCACTATCAGGTGAGACTTACATCTTTTGGAGGTAATAAGAAATTGGACCTTTTTTGAAATCTCCCATAAGTCTGTCTATTTCTAAACAAAATAGATGCAAAAGGAATGACCACTTCAGTCCAGTTTGAGATCTGTATGCGTTTTTTGTTTTGATTCCAGTTAAGCTTGGTGTTTGGGAATCTTCTGTTGATAAGTTCACATCATCTCTTGAAAGCATTCCTGAGGTAGGAAGCTGTCAAATTTGTTTACCTGTTTTAGAACCATTCACCTTACATATTAGAATGTCACTTTTGAGCTTTTTGGTTATTCTTTGAAATACATGTACGTGTGCACTATTTTGTCCACAATGTACTTAATCATGTGTACCCTCTTCTCCTTTCAGAGTCTGAAACAGGGCCATCGCTTGAAGATGTCACGTGTTGAGGTGATGCGCAAGACGGGGGAGCTGTTCTCCCTGAGACATCAGATCAACCTCAGCTCTGATCTGCTCATCTCGCCTGACTTCTACTGGGACCGAGACAATCTGGATGAACTGTACAATAAGACGTGCCATTTCTACAGCATCGGAAGAAGGACAAGGGCAAGCCAACTGCAGTTTTCATTGAGAGGATGGTTGTCTTTAGTACAGATTTCTGCAGGCACACATGATTAACGAACCGACCCAAATAAAGTATATTCTTTGAAGATGTTCCCTCTTTGCCTGCTGCTTTGGCTTCAGAAAAAGCAATGACTTATTCCTTAAATAGGACCGTGCTCAGTCTTTGGAGAGGTTACAGATTGGTTTGTTAAGTTATCCAAAAAATGGTGGCAACTCAGTTTACTAAGTGTTCAAAGTGTGCTTAATACAAAAAGATTATTTGGTTAATTCAATCACAGTGTAACCAATTTAAAAGCATTTTGCTCACAAAAAACATTATTTATAGTGTTTGTTCTGGTCACACAGGTCATCAATGAAAAGCTGAACCATTGTTCAGAGCTTGTGGAACTCATGAGAACCCACCTGAGTGAGCGTCACTCACTGAAGCTGGAGTGGATGATCATTCTTCTTATAGGAGTTGAGGTAGGTGAAGCAGGTCTTCATAATTATTGGAAAGAAAGGTAAGCCTTAGCCTTAATACTCATAAAGATTCCTTGAATCATTTCATCTCCCTGGAGAGTATACAACTCCATGCAGCCATTTCAGGCAAATTTACCCATTGTATATCCATGGGAGAGAGACAAATGGGAGTATAGTGACTCGCCCAAGGTCACAACATGTAACCAGCTGCTGCATTTAAGCCCGCACCCAACCAACGCCAACCACTAGGCCACACGCCTAGTGCGTGTGCCTTTGATTTTGTGATATTAATAGACTACCAGGAGGTGCTGTTAGTGTGGTAGCACCACATTTGGGTATATTACACAGGCCGTGTCTGAAACGGGCTTCCAGAGCTACGGCTAGGTCTATTGTCTCCATGCATTTCCAATGGAGCGAAGACCTAGACCTAGCTCTGGACAAGAGATTCGGATGCAGCCACATTAACATGTAGATGTGCGTGCTTATAGGTTAAGTCACAGCATCCCCTGAGCTGAAGAAACATTGAACATGTGCATGCAACCCATGCGTAAGCTAGATACCTGTGCGGTACAGTCGAACCTCATTAATACGAGCAGTGTTAATAGAAGATTCTGCTTATAACAGGGAAATGTTAGGTCCCAGTCCTTTTCTCATTGTTTTCATTCCTGATAATACAAGGTTCCTTTTATAACAAGGTAATTTGCCAAGTCCGAAGGACCTCTCATTAATGGGTTCAACTTTACAGTGTTTATGGCCACTAATACCGCCTACTAGATAAAAAAAGGGCATGTGTGTTATTTTGTCTTCAGGTCATGTTTGAAGTAATTCACTACATCCAGAGATATTATGGGGACAGTGATCAACACAATGCTGTATCATCAACACCTGTTCAGAGTCAAGTTGCATCTGTGGGCGGAAGGTGACATTCTCAACTCACCATCTTTCAAATCCAACTGGGAAGGTCTCTGGGATTTTGATACATTGAGGGAGGTAGAGCCCCTCCACCATTACTTTACAAGGGTTTGGTGCTTCTCAATAGGTCTAGACCGAGCCATGGGCTAGCTGCACAGTGAAAAATGTGGAGGATTTGGGACATTTCTTAAGAAAGGATGCTTTAGGGAGTGTCGGTTGAGTATTAATAAATCATAACTCAAGTAGCCAGAAATATTATGGGCGTGCAGAAAAGAAATCAAGCATTCAAAATGCAAATTACATGTACCTTAATTTTCATCAGTGCATTAATGAACAATTGCACATGTGATTGATGTCTATTTTTTCATCAGACTGTTACAAATGATGCAAAAAAGAGACTGTATGAGAATACAACATGAACTTTATTAACCACAAATATGCAAACGGCAAAATAATATATAGTACATTGTATTACTTAATTTACACCAGTTCCCTATAGTGTGCTGCTAAGTTAATGAAGACTAAAGCAGAAGCATATTCACCTTCGTTGTGATGGATACAGATGGGTACTGCAGTGCTCACTACATGAGGAAGAAGCCTCCAGTTTGAAACAAAGACACACATTCCTGCATTGCAGTTGATACGCTTAAGTACTGGGAAAACATGACTTTGTAATGAAATTTACTACAGAAGCACCAGTCATACCAAACAAAATCCTTGATGTTGACAAATGTTTTGTTGGTAAATTATGAAATATTAACTCTTTTTGAAGAACAGTGAGATCCAACATTCTGTCAATGTTGACATCAACTGTAAAATTGAGTTACTGGTGACAATGGTTGCCTTTCTAAGAGTGTGGGATAAATGCACATACAGATCCTAGTCAAAAGCACTGTTAGAATACTGGGTTTATTCTGTCAATTTCATATGCAATAAAATACCGTATCCTCCTACTCCATGCCAAAGCTCAATTAAAATTTTTGCTAATTCTGTCATTTACACCATACATGGAATTTACTTTTAAATTAAAGTCATCCAACCCCAGAAACTCAAATGTGCAAGGAAGAGAAAAGTCGTCTTACAAGATGGGAAGCTTTTTACAGCTGGACGGATATTAATAGGGATGGATAAAGATGTCACTTCCCCTCATGGTGCTTTGTATTTCATGTTCAACTATTCTGAATAAAAACCTGTTTACATGTACATGTACTTGGATGGACCATATGGGGAATGACAATTAAATTACTGGTACATACACTTTTATTTGTGCTTTTGCAATTTTAAAGACAAAAACCTTTCAGTGCTGCACAGAGGTGCAACTTTTATGTTGTGTGTCAGGTACTCCCACTTTTACCCAAAATGATCGTAGCCAGTTGCGCAGCCCTCAGAATTTCATGATATTGATACTCTGCCGCAGCCCCATGCACTTGACATTGTCAATGTAGACGGACTTGGACTTGATGTCAATGTCTTCCTCCAACGTCTGCTGCTGGCGGATCAGCCCCTTCAGCTGGTCCTCGGCCTCGTCCAGTGTGGCCTGGAGCTTGGCCACACTCTGGCTGATCTCAGCTGTCTCGTTGATGAGGCGATACTGGACAGGGTCCCGGCAGAGCTCCACGTTGGGACGGTTGGTGCGGGTGTCCAGTCGCGTCTGAGACAGCTTCATGGGGCCCATCTTGTCCTCCACGGCTTTGGTCAGGCTCTGAATGTTCTTCTCCATCTCTTGGATTTGTCCAACGACCTGAACAAAAAAAAACCGGAGATGAAATGGAATGTTACAGCTGCTAAATGTGCAAGGAAAACATTTTATTGAAATTTACATCAACTAAGAGAATTTTATAAACCCTAACCTAACCGCATACAGTGCACCCATTGAGCAGTAACTGCTACCACAAATGGCTGTGCACAGTGGCAAAAGTTCAACACATTTTCCCTTCACAGACTTGTGTGACTTTGTGTGTGTATACAACACATACGAGGGGATGTGATCACGATTAACATGATCACGATTAACAGCCGGAGGTGAGTCGAGGCGTGCGAGATGTTTTAATCTGTCAGCTGTGCCTGTGTTTAAAAAACCTGCAGATTAGCACAAAGTGATTACGCACCACAATGTAAAAAAAGAGTTGAGTGCTCACCTTGGCCAGATGTGTCTCCAGTTCGCTCTTTGTGTCTTGTGTTTCCCTGATGCGTTTCTTGAAGGCCAGGTTGGTGTCGCTGACTTGCTTCTTCATGTCGTCTTCTGTGGTTTCCAGCAGACTGTCGATGACAGCCCGCAGGTCCACGGCATTCTTGCGGTCACGCTCTGTCTTCAGAATGTTCTCATTGGTGAATTTCTGCCAGTCTTCTGGGGTGACAGAGCTATGAAAGAAAATGTTCCAAATAGCAGTGGTGGTCACACTTAAAGCAAAGTGATAGTAATTCTGATTCAGCATTAGGCTTTTAAGAAGTTGTGAAACTGAATTTATGTTTATTCGTTATCAAATTCTTTACCTGTAAGACAAGACAAAAACAAGGTAAACAGCAAAATGCTAATCATTCCTTTGAATGTAATAAGGCTTTCTTGCGTTAAATTCCTTATTTGTGTAAAATTCTCAGATGAAATTTGGTCAGGATAACAAGTACACTGCCTGTATAAATGACAAGAAAACTGCACTTACAGTTTCTTACTGCCATACAAAGAAAATCTTATAACGGTGGATCAAAGATGCTACGTACTTGGTTTCAATTTTGGCAGCGCCGGATTTGAAGGTGAGGTGTGGGTTATCATCCCTGAGTTCTCTGCAGTCCTGATCAATGTCCAGGGCAGCAAACTTGTCTGTCAGGTCTTTCTCCAAGGTGTAACGCCGTGACCGCATGATGCGGATCTGCTCCGTGGTCTGGTCCAGGGTGCGCTGAAGCAAGGCCATGACACCTTCGATGGTCTCGCGCTCTTTAAGGAGGTTCTTCTCGACATCATCATGGACAAGGTCAATGGCTTCGCGACCCTCTCTGATAAACGTAATGGGTGTGGAATTAAAAAATACAAGTCAGATACATGCAACTGACCAGCACACAAGTATGCTACATACAGGTACATTTCCAACACATCAAAAGTCCCACACAACACTGAAAAGGGGTTATACAGTAATCAAGAAAGTTAAGCATGGATCTCTTTAAAGTTCGTTTCACTTTATACATGGTCATGTATGTGAAGTGTAGCTTGACAGAAGAGGTCTCATTTATCAAATTTAACTGATAGGTGTGACATTTTTCCCAGTACTGGATATTCATAATACCCCAGTCTCTGTATGCAACAACGTGCAACTTGACCGTGTTCATGTATTAACATTTAAAAATGCCCGCTGAGAAGTGATAAATGCACTCTGCGTTTAAATGATTCTGATTGGTCAACAGTCTGTGTGCACATGGCTCATCAGAGGCAGCAAAGTCCATATAAGGAGGTTCTATTGGACAACTTGCGCAAGGAATATACTAAGAAATGGATGGGGTGTTCAGGAAAATCTAAATAAAATTCTAGAACAAAATTGCTGGAAATCCATCATATATTGACTTCTTTTGACTCTCTGACTAAAAAAAAATAAATAAATATGTGCTTGGTCGGTCGTGTTTAAGACTGGCCAAGCACATACACTACTCAAAAAAAGGTTAAGGACCACATTTTTGTGTATACGTTTTTTTATATCAGATATAATGCTGTAAATGTGCATTTGATGTTTTGAAACAATTGTTATTTCTGGGAGAACACCATCTAGACAAACAAACAATGAAAGAACTAGACTCATTGCTTGGTATAAATTTTTTAAAAGTGGTCCTTAACTTTTTTTGAGTAGCATATTTATCCCCTTATGAAAGCATATACTCATAAATTTAAGTTCTTGAAATCACAAGGTAATTTATCCTCAAATACTCAATGTTTTTCAAAAAAATTTGAATAAAAATATCTTTATACCCAATGAATAAAACATACGTGTTTTTATGTCTAATGTCATCTAATATTTCAATATTAAACTTTTTTGTAACAAGCTGATCAAGTTAAGTCTTGGGACAGATTTTTCAGGTATAAAGTCTCCACTACTCTGGGAAATATACCTGAACAGTAGGCAATGGTTGACAATGGCTAGTGGTTCTTTGCAGGCTTCAAGAGCATTCTGTAGTCTGGTTTTGTAGGCAAGTAGCGTGTCAATTTCTTTCTTGGCGTCATCAAGTTTTCTGTTTAGTTCATCCTTCCAGAATGTCACATTATGTATTCTTTGTTCTGGAAAAAAGAGAATGAAAACTTGTGATTATAATATAGGGCTGTGCCTTATATATCCAATACATGTATCTGGATATTCGATCAAGTATTAAATATTTGAATATTATTTTCCAGATTCAAATATTTGAATGCAAAAATCATGAAAACGAAGGGAGAAATTTTTTTTGTTTTGAATAAGAAAAATTGCACTGTGGAGGCTTGTTTCAGATTCAAATGAAAAGCAACAGAAACCTTACAATTCAAAAAGTAACTTATTCTGTCAAAAAACTTAAAGGACAGGAAGAAGTATTGTTTGTCTCTAAATCTTGCTAATTCGTGGCTGGAAAACTCAGAGACATGAGAAGCTATTACGTGTATAGTGATTTTAATATACAAGTGTTTGGGTTATTGCAACTGATTTTGTATACGGATTGTTCAACAATCTGCCGGTCGGTTGAACAGAATACATGTATTTGGATATTCTATTTAATTAAACGTCGAATATTCGAATTGTGAATTATTTGAATTGACTCAGCCCTATTATAATGTTCCATGAAATTCATCATTGAAAGCATGCCTTAATTCTGTGTTAAAAACAAGATAATCATTCTTAAAATATTGCCATTGGATTTTGTCTTGCTAAGGATGTTTATTTGTATATTGACGTATCACAAACCCTACCAAAAATTACACTTTTCCAATAAATCCACTTCACAGATGCAACATGCAATGTTTATGTGTTCGAAGAAAATAACCAGGTCAACAAATCAACTTCAGTGGTCCTTATTCATTGGAAATATAGCTGTGCTGACAATAGATATACCAGTAGCTGTTGTCCATTTGGACACAGCCTAGTTTTTGGACAAAAGTTGTGCCCTGCTGTCCAGGTCCACTCATGTATCTATTAATTTAAAGCGGTAATCAGTCTTTATAACGCTAATATTAGTCTTGATTCCTTTACACAACTGTCACAACTGTACATTTCAGTATACTTGGGGATTCAAAAACAGTTGAAGTCTTTCATCCCTTGTTAATTGTACAATATCATGTGAAAATCTGATAAGTGTCTGTCCAATGCAAAATTCAGCATTACACTGACCAAACTTCTTGTTGACGTCCCTCTGTGTTCTCTTGGTCACTTCATCCGTCTCGTCAATGAGCCGCTCACTCTCATCAATGAGGCGTTCTGCACTTGCTCGCTGCTTCTCTGCATTGTTGTAGTTGGTCTTGTTGGAGTAGGCCCACTCTTGGTGGGTGAACTTGGGAGGTGCACTGATCAGTTTGGCCATTTTTGTAAAGAAAATCAATCCCAATCTGAAAAGAGACATGGGATTTACTTGGGTTACCACATACATGTAGGTCTACTGCTTTAACCATTTTGGAGCAGAAGCAATGCTCTGTGGCCAAGTAACAAAAATTTCTCATCAATAAAAAACATAAAACCCTAGAATGTTTGACAACACAATTTGGAGTCGACTCCATTTTCCGGATCCATTTTCAGCACTGCACAATAGGCCTATATGTGATATAAATCATATAGCACAACTTTTCGGCAAGAGCAGAACATGGAATGGAACTTGAATAGAAAAACCCCAAACCTTTTGGTGTTTCCTAATTTTTGTATATAATGTGCTTATTGTTCTTGTTCATAGTATTTTTGGCTTTTTAATTTTTGTCATTGTATTTTTGTTGTGAGGTAGGCCTAATACCAAATAAATCCAATCCAGTCCAAAAACGGGGCAGACGTCGAGTGCGCGCGAAGGAGCACGTTCGGGCCCACGCTACTAGTACTGGTATACCTTGTTCATATCGTCAGATCGTATAAGTTAAACTCAATCCCTGCACTCCTGAAAGAAATCTGCAATTCCGTATTGAATACTGTTTACAAGCATTATTTCTTATTACTTTGAATTTTATAGAGTTAAATGAAACTTAGAAATTCATGTAATCATCAGGCTTACCGGCTGTAAAACGTCTTGTGAGATTTGCGTTCGATACGACGCTGACTCGACTCTGATCCGGAAATGATCCGTTGCTCTCGCGAAAACCACACTATGAAATATACACATGTGCGTACATAGCAACGAGGTGCATTGATTAGATCTACCGAGGTGGAAATTTTCCATTAACAAGTAATCATTGTAGAGTTCGATCTGACAGCCAATCAATATTATGAGACAAAGTATTTCCAGTATCTTTTACTCTATTACTAAGAATTTTCTATGTTATCTTTAGCGAAACAATGCACAATAATGTTGCATTTCTATGGTTTACGTAAAATTCCCATCCCTTACCGAAAATAATGGAACGATCCATTGTTCCCGTTGCCACAATAATTGAAATCTCGTATGCGAACGCGAGTGTGCGATAAATCACGACATTTCTGTGGAACAATATGCATATTCAATAGGTGGGATGGTCTCATATCGGACGGTGTTGACCTTTCACCTAGTCCATTCTCACGGATGTTGTTGTGTGACACGTACGACGAGTACATGTACATGTACAACTGTACATGTATGTGAAGGTGTTTGAGTTCCGTTTTCGTCAGAAACCCGACATAATTTGATTTAATTTAGGCACAAGATTGACTTCGTTGTGCTCACAAGAAGACGTCATTTTACTGATCAACAAAAGTTGGTTTATCACTGGTGAAAAATGAGTACTCGAGGAGCGATTCGAGACTGCACTGGGATCTCCGCAAGTCCAGCGTGTTCTGCAGAGAGCTCCCCGGGTTTATCTCGTCGGTTGAACCCCGCCTTTGGACAAGTACGGCCGCTGGCTTTGGCTGCTGCAGCACCGATCAGAACAGGGGGAAAATCAACTCACCCTGGAAAGGCTATATTGGCAGGTTGTTCACTAATTGTCAGCTTTATTTAAATCATCTATCTTTCATGTCAGTGGTTTAATTGGCCCGTTTTAACAGCGGTCAGACATTGATCCTGAAAAGTGAAAATTACCTAAGAAAATTCTGAAGCATCAACTTAATGGAAAACACTTTTTTCAGACAAACCTCATAGGTTTGTGAACAGGGGCATCAAGTGTTGTCCATACATGGAACTCTGTCCCAAATCAGTGCCTAGAGTATACTGTAAGTGCAAGTTAAAAGGAACCATAAAGTTTATAGGTTCCATTTGCTCCTCTAACATGTCTAAACACCTCATATGGTGATGATAAAGTGCCTCCAGGGAGGGCACCAGGTGACTTTGCAAGGGAAAAAGGGTAAGTATAGGGCAGGATTTGGCTAGTGTATGTTGATACATACTTGTTCGGATGATGTGATCTTGTGGATGTAGGAAATGGAGTGAGGTGCAGATTAGGGTCGAGAGTGGCAGTCTGGTATTGAATTTTGTACAGGAAATATAACTAAAAGCTTTACGTCTTTCTTCCAGATAGGGCCACTAGAGTTCTTTAGTTTAAAATAGTTGTATAGTCACTAGGTTCCTAATTTCCCTACTCTGAATTCCAGTTGGTTATGTGAATGGTGAAATTAAAGAGCTGGCAACTATACAGTCATGGAAGCAGATGACACGTGGGTGCCTGCAACATGTCGTTTCTAGAAGTAACACTAACAGTAGCCAAGTAGTAAAGTTATGAAAAGTCACAATATTGAAACAATTTGACACTTTGGACCTTATTCAATATTTCTTTTACTGTTCTACAATAGCTTCACTTACTGTTGGGAGAACAAATTGATCAGAAACCACCTGACATTTGGAAGAACAATAGTCTCATTATGCCTGAACTAGTGTCCATCCCAACTAGCCTGTAGTTGGAATGGTTCTTACTTTTGTGCTTCAGTTGGGTAACTTACTCTGAGAACTCTGAGTCACTACTCCGCGTTACTCAGAGTTCTCAGTGTGGATAACTTCTATTGGCTGTGAACGGCAAATCTTGGAGAAGATTAAGAAAGGTTCTATTGGAACTTGCCAATTCATGTAGCTGGGCTAGCCCAACTACAGCATTACAGTTGGAACCATGTCATCCTAAGTTTGTAACTGTCATTGAAACTGATGCCATAGTACTGGTAGGGGCCTAACAGTCTCCTGTGAACTTTCTTACTTTCCCTTCTCAAAGCTGCATGTTCCTGAACATAGAAGCAACTGACCAATAGCTTCCCTCTCATGAGCCATTGAGCTTGATTTTCAAAGTTACATTTACATGCACCGGTACTTTTAGCATTGCAAGCCATTTCAGTGCAGTATTCAGTGGTAGATACCCACAATGAAGTACATGTACATGTATGTCAGAGGTCATGTAGGAACAGGGATGCTTGTACACATGTGTGCAAGGTTGGCCACATCAGCATACATGTCGCTGTATGCCACACATGCTAAACATGTTCACAGATGCTTTGTTACATTAAAACCATTTTGGGGGTAAGACTTCCATGTAACAAGGAAGAGAAATGAAACATGCTTGGTAAGGCAGCTGCCCTTGAAGTGAGATTCTCAGAGAGTCATCTTCAGAGCCCCTGTATTTATGACAGGGTACAGTTATGACAGGGTACAGTTATTCAACTGATAAATTTACACTACTCCAAATATTTACCGACAGGCACAAAAGCCACTGAAGAAATTCTCATTGAAGCATTGCAGACCCGAGGGAAAACAGCCCAAACAAGCTTAAAAAGCTATATTTTTTGTTTGTTTTTTGCTTGTATGTTTTTTGCATTGCAAACCTGTGCACAAACCTTCCAACTGTACATGTACATGTGTTGTCTTCCCACCTGCTGATTTCAGGAAATGCACATATACATGTACATACAGGTAGACTACATTAAATGTAAACTAAGTTTTGTCCTTGATAGGTTATTGTGACCAGAAAAAGTGCCCTCCCAGCATCGACAAATTAAGTTGCCGCATATTCAGAACCCATGTTTTATATTTAGAAATCCAAACAAATGTACCGTATCAGTGCCAAGTCTATTTTTTGACTTTCCTGAACTTTAATTTAGGCATAACCTTTGCTCAGGCACTGTTAAAAGATTTGTTTTATCTTTTATTTCAAGCATTTTTTAGCAATTCAGAATGTAAAGCACACATTATTGAAGTTGTTTTTTATGCCAAAACATTCACCTACTTGTACAGTAGTACATGCACATGTAGCTTATGTTTCCAGTGTACAGTATGCAGATGTAATACTTTTTGAAAATCCTCCCCCCACACACACCCTTTTGTGTTCACTCGTGAAAGGCAGTCGGCTTCATATGCTCTAATAAATGAAGTGGAGACATGAGTCAGTCTGTGGACCTTGGATCACTGCTGGAGCATTTACAGCAGTTAAAAATTATGCCAGGCACTCCAACATGATAGATGTGCATGCACCATCTACATGTAGATATTGATCATCATACTAATTCTGGTAACAGGATTTACATGTACCTCCATGGTCATTTGAACTAAGCATATGGGGAACTAGATGGTGGCAAATATTATTCACCTGTATCCCTGTACTGAGATAGTGTACATGGTTACCATCTTTACATACATCATACACAGAGTTAACTATTCTAACTCTCAGCAAAAATGAATAGCCAACTCGAGGCTGTATGTACCGGTACCTCACAACTGTGTCTATTGATTTGTTGAGATCTATATACTAAACATGTATGGCACATATTTTACAGTGGACATGGATGCTGTGTGTCATGTGTGCATCAGAGAGGCACACGAACATGAGAAAAATCTTTTGTACCGGTATTTTATGCATGCACATCACCGTTTTCAAATATCCATGCAGATTTTTGCTTAAATGAAACTATGATTGCTGTTATTATTGGTTTATTAAAAGCAGGAGCATGTACCGGTAGCAAGTGGCTGAATTTCATCAAGTTGTAATTATAACCAAAAAATTGATAAAGTAGACAAGTAAAATAATTAGCTGCAATAAAATTTGAAAAAAGACCGAAATGATTCCAATCAACACTCAACAGTAGAAAAACACTTATTCACAATATCCAAACAGGATTAACAACAAAACAATTTCATGCGCAGTACACTAAAGTTATACATACTGAAAGTCATTTACCTTTCTACGTTGCAACTACCGGTACCAGGGTAAAGAAAAACACTGCAAGTTACTTTAATACCGGTAGCAATATAATTTACAGACAAAAATCAAACTGTGAAGGATAAAATTGTACATGTATTTTTAAGAACCGACTGCAAAAAAATTAATTTCCAGTTTAAAATCTGAGCATCGACGGGTTTCAGTAGATTTTATAACAGTTGAGAGCTCCTTAAATCAACCAGAAAATTGCTTCTTATTTCCCCTCAGCCACAGCCTCCAATCTAATCTGACTCTTACTGCCAGTGGGATGTGGACTCTTCCTGTAATTGAGCCCGCCGTCGTTGCATGTACTTCACATACATTTACCTTGGTGCATTTATCATCCAGAGATATATGTCTACGTACATTACATGCAGCACTTATATGATGTCTGCAGTGTCAATGTTTTTGTGTTGGATTTGAATTGAAATTATGGCTCTGCGGTTCCTTGCAGAGTGATGTCCATGTACTGCGCATGCTGTACATCTGTCTGCAAGAAGTGACATGACTGTGGCAAAGAAAAATATGTAACTAAAAAAAATTAAAAAGCAGCTGGAATTTAAGATCAGATGTGGCACATCATGAACTGCCATGCATGCATGCATGACCGTTCACACAATAGATACATGTACATATGTATACTCCCACCCTCAGGACCACTGCAAAATTTAGAAACAAAATGTACTGGTACCATGCATATTTTCTCATTGAAACAGAAATGGTGGTACTGAAACCGGATAGGAAGAAAACTCAAAGAGTTTGGCTTTCCATAGTTTTCTTTTGCATGTAAATCATAGTACATGTAACTCAGACTACACGTACAAGTGCAATATATGTCCTGAGTCCTTTTGTTTACCCCTTTGTATTTGAGATTGGAGGCTGTACACAACAAATGCTCACCTTAAAGCAGAGTGTGAGTTGTGATAAAGATCAACGTTCCATACAAATCGTATAAGGCCTATTTTTATCTGCTCTTTACACATTTTAGGCTTTCTTTGTGATCTGTTTTAAGTGTACAGATGAAAGAAATGATCAGTGCCCCATTGCAGTGACATGCATTTTAGTTCACACTCCTTCTGAATATTTATGATGGGCGTTGGCTTATATTGGCATGCTGAGTGGTCAGAAATGATTACTAAGCTCACGCCTGAGAGAGTGACAACAAAAGATTTATGATCTATAGTAAAGATTTATGGGTCAACACAGGAAACTAGTATGCACACCCATCTTCTCCAACTTGGTGGGGGGACTTTGCCTGACCACTGTGACTTGTTACATGTCAGCACTGTGTGCAACTCTGTGTTGCAAGAGAAATGCTGTGTCATTCCTCACCAGATAATACATTATGTCTGCAGTGAATGGTATTAAAAGAAAAATTAAAATTTTGTACATATGCAATGTATTATACATGTACATGTGTTATCATGGAGAAATTAATATACCCACATCAGTTTTTGGATGGAAACTACTATGAAAAGAAGTGTTGACCATTGTTATCAGTGGGAAGGAAATTTCATGGTTTATATTGCAAATAAAATGGTTTTGTGCTGGTAAAGAAAATACGTGGTAGAGTGCTGTTGTAAAAAAGAAATGTACAGTACATGTAGATTGTACTGGTTGAATCATCATTTTAAGGGCAGAAGATCTTTGATTCATGGAAGCTAATTTAAAAAAGAATAGTTGGTATTTAAGAAATTGATATTGATCTCCACCAATTAGTTTTCGATGTACATGTAAAGTCAATTTTCGTCAGTCCTATTGTACAGTAGAACGCATGGAAAAAATGCTGCCAGATAAAAACAAAATATTTATGGAAAGAGTTCTGATAATTATAGGAAAAGTAATTCAGACCTCATGAAAATATGTGCCTGACACATACATGTACATTTACATGCACCTGTATGTATGTCAATACCAGTAAAAGCTAAATTCAATCTTTCTTATTCCTATCAGTACATGTACATGTCCTGTAGTTTCTAATCATAGTGACCACATGAAGTTCATTCAGTTTGCCTTCCAAATGGGACTGGTACCGGTATGCTTATTAATGCTTCATTTCAAAGTTTGAGTCAGTTCAGTGCAGCTATAGAGGCTTTGCATGGTAGCCATCTTGCAGGGCAGTTCTTTAGTTCCTCAAGGGAACCTCTTTTGCTCATACCTAGTGGAATAAAAGCATTGACGTGCAAGGTGGCAGCCATGCAAACCCTCTGCTGTCAATTGCCTTGCAGAAGGATATGTCGGACTTTCCTAGAAAATCATGTGTTTTCTTACTCATTTACATGTGATGTAGAGCCATACGCATAGCACTTGACAAACGCATAAAATCAGTGTGCAGATTATATACAAGTCTTGCAAGATACATTGTACCAGTACAATAATCTGAAAAAATAAAAACCTGTTAACCCAATTTCACCTTAAAGTCATTGTGGCAGTCAAAAGAAGAACTGACAATCAGGGCCTTTACTTTCTAAATTATAGATGGCATGTTTATGCTCATGACAGTAAGTCAGCCTCTTTATGATCAAGCATCTTGTCTCTGTGTCATCTCTGTCATGCAGGTGGCATCGCAGGAGGCATTGAGATCTGCATCACATTCCCCACAGAGTATGTCAAGACCCAACTGCAACTAGACGAGCGGTCGGCCAAACCCTTGTACCGCGGTCCCATCCATTGTGTCAAGTACACCGTACAAAATCATGGGTTCTTTGGTCTGTACAGGGGGCTCAGCCCACTGCTGTATGGCTCAATACCAAAGGCTGCCATTAGGTATGCTGTGACATGACACACTTTTTGTTTCACATATGCACAAACCTTGTTCATTCCTTTTTGTATTTGTACACTGGGGGAAGCAGGTAGAACGTTTGTGGTCTGTGCACTGTCACTCAAACTCCGAATAACTGGGGAAGTACGATCCAGACAGTAAGACCAGCCTTTTTGTGGGTCATGGGAGAGAGGGGGAGCTACTGCTGCTCACTGCATAGAGCTTGTTATGTGCACACCCGAATGGATTTTGTGGTGAGAGACCAATAAAGGCCAGATAACCTCAGTGAAATTTTAGCCGCCAGTTGGCATCACAGATCAATGCACTTTGGTTGAAGAAAAAGTGATCACTGATGCGCAGGCTGCACCTTAGAGTATTGAACCATGCGAGGGACAAACTTCTAAAAATGGATACTTCCAGAAAATTAGCTTAGAAAATGTTTTGTCACCACAGCAGCAGTGAGTAAATGGACCACTTCTTGGGAAATATTCCAGGTTTGGTGCTAATGAATTCTTCAAGAACCAATGGAGGAGTCGACACAATGGAGCTCTGAGCAAAACTGGCAGTCTGATGTGTGGTCTTGGGGCTGGGGTGAGCGAAGCCATTCTTGCCGTCACGCCAATGGAGACCATCAAGGTGAAATTCATCAACGACCAGACCTCACCAAAACCAAAGTTCAGAGGATTCTTCCATGGGCTGAGGGAAATTGTCAAAGAACAAGGTACAGTATTCCTTTGCTTTCGTTTTTAATGGAGAGAAGGGATCATCCTTTTGGTAACTGTGAGATTGCATTTTATTGAAAAAATAACCATGAAAATAACACAAAATCTTGCTAAGTTTGGCACAGTTAAGTTTAACAAAAGATGTTTGATGTCATTTGTTTGTCCATTGCATAAAACATTGTGACCAAACTTACTTATGACTGGACTTGAATGTAATGGACTCAAACTGTTCACTGAAGTGTCAAATATATCCACCTATACTCTCCACATCAAGACTGACAGCCATTTCATTGTCAACAAGTCAGTCATTCATCATCTTGATCTCCCCCTCCCCTTAATCTTGTTCCAGGTCTACGCGGTACCTACCAGGGCCTTACAGCCACCATTATGAAGCAAGGCAGTAACCAGGCCATCCGTTTCTTTGTCATGGACTCGCTGCGTGAATGGTACCGCGGCGGGGACCCCAACAAGTACATCAACCCCTTCATTACGGCATTGTTTGGTGGTTTGGCAGGAGCGGCCAGCGTGTTCGGGAACACGCCACTGGATGTTGTCAAGACGAGGATGCAGGTATGGATAGCATACAATGCTATGCTGTTTTCAGTCAGGTTAGAAACATTATTTCTGACTGAGAGCTCTCTTTCAAGAGCAAATACAAAAAATTCTTTTTTTCCGGATCAACCCCCTTCCTTCCATCGAGTGCAATCTGAGAAGGAAAAAAATTGTGATTTCTGTACTTGGTCTTATGATCATTTTATTTCTTTTCTAAACGCATGCAGTGCTATGCTCATTAAAATGATTTTCAAAATGGATGGCCCAAAGCTGTGTCAACTGCTGAACATTTGTCTGTCAAAGCTGAACTTTGGCTTGTAGATTACTTGGTATATTTTACTAATATACCGTCTGCGCTACTGAACTGCCCAATGACCTGGTTTCAACATATGTGTGTGAGCATGGCATTTAAAAACAGAATGTATGGGCATTGATCGTGGCAGTAATTTATGCCTAATGAGTTGCAGCATCTGCACTTAATTCACAAAAGAGATTTGCAGTTGACATAGCCTGTAAATAGTGTGGTTAGTAGCAGAAAATCAGCACCTTGTACGGATTCTTTTGAACAGTCGGAAAATCTTAACCTTTTTTTGTTAGTTAAAATTTGTGTAGAATTTGCCAAGACAAAAATTTTATGAGATTTGCTTTCTTCTTTTTTAAGGGTCTTGAGGCACACAAGTACAAGAACACTTGGGACTGTGCAGTCAAGATATGGAAATATGAAGGACCCAAGGCGTAAGTATTCCAAGTGGTTGTCAGTTCTCAGTAATAAAAGCAACTCTGTAGAAAGCCACCTTTTGGCTCCAACTAGTGATCACCACACTCGCGTTTTTGCTGGGATGACCTTACTCTTCAAGCCTGCTTAGCCAAAAGTCTCACATGCCACTTTGCTCAGCAAGTTGCACCCTGTTTACAGCAGCTTGGAACCAAATTTCTGCCTCGCGAGACCATGAGGAAAATATCTAACTTGTCATTTTCCTCATAGTCTCACAAGGCAGAAATTCAGTTCCACGTCGCCGCAAATGAGAAGCAACTTGCTGAACAAAGTGGCAGGCGAGACTTTTTGCTCAGCAGATTGCCTTCATGAGCGGCGAGCTTTAGGTTTGCACTGCTTTTGTCTGTTGGGTTTGTGAAGGAACTTTAGAGAATGCTCTTTGGCTGTTTAACCGTAGCCCTAGTGAGGATTAGTGTCAATCACATAAAACTTTGTTGGGCTTGACAATTGTGACAATAAGCCAGGTCGGAGTTTCGGACGCACGAGGAATTGTGGAATAGAAATTGGATAAACAAACCCACGCGGCATAGCCAGCGGTATGGTATAGCATAGACCTGGCGTACGAATGAGTGAGGTTTAATTTGTTTTGAGCTTTCTGCAGTTACATGACTTTATAAAAGAGATATTTAGGGGATTCTTTATTCACCTTTCATATATCCCAAAACTGCCCTGGCACACCGTAGAACATCTATTACTTTTGAAAAAACCCAAACCAGAATGGCAAGTTGAAAAAACTACTAGGTGTGAACATGTGCATTGCTACGGAGAGGAATGGTTTATTTATCTAAAAAAAAAGGGTCGTCAAGGCCAGTTAGCGCATGCGCGACCAAAATACCGAATTGGCTTATTTTACATGTACATGTACCATGCTGACCTCATGATGGCCTACTTCAGTGTTAAGTTAAACTAGTTATTCCATTTGTTCCTTCACCCTTGCTGACCCGAGTAGTTCTGGTTCTTCGGATTCCCAGTTCACTGTACCTACATATACCTACCTACCTGTACCTGTAGGGGCCATGTTCCCCCCAAAAGGGAGAATTCTTGTTTCATTTCTAAAAATTAATGGAAGCCTATTTGGGGGGGGTTTCTTTTCTTTGCAGAAACACGTAAAATACTCCCAAAGTAAGCCTCACCCTTTAGGACAAAGATTATATTAATGATATTTCCAGATTTTTGCCCCCCTCCCTAAATAATTTACATTCAGGATTTACCCTTGCTTGTGCACTCATATTTGTTTTCGGGTTAGATGTTATGGGGATCAACCAAAAATATGTACAGTAGGGGACAAATCTGTCCCAGCAATGTGGGTGCGACTTTCCTAACAAAAGAAATTGTCCCCATTATGTGGGGAAGGCCTGCCCACAGTCTTATCCTGTGTAGTATACATTTACAGCGTCTGCTAGATGTGCGTTCAGAGTTTGTTGCTGTGGCTAGATATGCAAGCCACTGGCTTGTGGCTGCAGCAACTTGTATAGAATACATGTAGTAGTGTTTTAGTCACGGCCATAGCCAGTTGATTTGGACAGTGCCCTTCCCCCTACCCTGAGCTTACTCAATAACAAACCAATGGAGATTTTCCTTTTTTCTTCACATTTCATGTTTGCTCACATTTTTCGTTGCAGCTTTTACAAAGGCACTGTTCCCAGGCTGTCCCGAGTGTGTTTGGACGTCGCCCTGGTCTTTGTCATCTATGATGAGATTGTGAAGGTTCTGAACAAAGCCTGGCCCACAAACTGATCCTTATATATTTAATGGTCTCTGCAGTGTCATTCTGTTTGGCCGTCAAATCGTCAAAATTATTTCTCCACACAATACCAGCAGACAGGAATTCCATCTTGGACTTCAGTGTGCTGGTTCTGTATATCAAAAAAGCAAGGTTATATGAGAACAAGGAAAGCTTGCAAGACATTAGGGCAACCCCACCATGCATTTTACTTTCCCTAGTGACCTTGAACATGCTGCATTTTAGACATGTTCTGTTGGAATACCGAGCCGGCTCATTTGGGCTACAGATGATTTCCTTTAAAAGCAGCATTCAGCTAAATGTGACCTGCTCTTTGAACATTATCCTGAAATGCTGTTGTGGTCAAGACCATCACCAGAGTGGACAGTGGTAAAGGAATGCTTTCGTCATGGTTCATAGTTGACTTGAATTCAGACGGGAGATCTTGTGATGGTCTTGAAAGGTCTTTTGCTCATCTTAAAGAGGTCTCCACTGCAACACTGCCCTTACTGTTGCTAGCTCTTTGTAATTAGCAAATCAAGCTTGTAAGTCAGATTATTTATGATTAGTTTTTGCTGTTCTAATTCATGGGAACATCCCTAGCTTTGACAAGTCAGACTTATTGGAGTTGTGATATCCATGCCACTTCCAGAATTTCCTTTTTTTCATATTTTTGAACAAGACACTAGGCCAGAAAAAGTTTAAGTTTGAGACATTCCAGACACAGTTGGTGCTTTTTCAGTGAATCAGCTCACGCATGTGGCTTTGTATCAAATAAACCATATCTACAGAGCAGGTGGCATGTACATGTGGTCTCGTGATCAGGAAGAAAATTATGGTTAGGATCAATCAGTAACCACTTTTCAACCTCTAGCCAATTTTGCGTGGTAACGTATGCACAAAATGTGTCCTGGGTACCAGGCAGGACCAACCAGCGGCTGATCAGTGGTTACTAATTGGACCTGACCAGATGTGAATTCCAGTTATTGTGCAATTGGAGTAGCGCCCTCTGTTGTTGTAGGTTTATAGCAAGTGTTCAGTGTCTGTAGAGATAATTGATTGGAACAACCACTGCTGCTGATTTGCAGAGCAAGCCCATCTGGACTTTGTACAAACGTGATGTTAATTCCCTCAAGCATGCATTTTCATGTTTGGTTCTGTTGTGGTTAAAGATTCACCAATGCAGAGCTTGACTGTTTACTACATTCACATAGTGTCCACTGCCTGGTGTGTTTTGTGTGTGTGAAAATGAAAGAGAAATTACTTCACCAACAGGAAGATGCAGTAGATCATGTGAGGTTGGGAATACATGTACTTTCGGAGTTGGAGATCAACCAATTCCAGTATACCAAAGCACTGTAATCTGATCAACGAATTGTATGCTCTTACTCAGTACTGGGATCCTGTAGAAATGTGAATTAGGCCATGTCTGTAACAGGCTTCCAGAGCTACGGCTAGGTCTATTGTCTGCGGGTCTCTGTATACTTCCAATGGAGTAAAGACCTAGACCTAGCTCTAGACAAGAGATTCAGATTCAGCCTCAGAGTGTATATTAGACCCCCCCAAAAAATGAATGAATTTGCATTATCTTCTTCTTGCAGTTTGGTGAAGATTTAGAAAAAACACTTCTTGGTCTTCCAAATTCGAAATGTATTTTGTAGGGTTAGGTGGGTGGAGTGGTTGAAATGAACATTTTTATTATATGAAATTAAATTTCAAATTTTCAGTTTGAGTGTCAAAACCCTTAAACACATACAATTCAGAATGCATTGTGGTAGATGAACTCCTGTTTGTTGTTGGAAAAAATATTTGTAATGAGTTAATGTGATATTTTTAAGAATGCTTATTGTTCAGAATGAAAAGATGTTATGAAAGTAATTGTTAGAGATGTACATAAACTGAATTGCTACACACCAGTGACTGTTGAGGAGTCTAATTTGAGAGTGCGAGTTTGAGGAGCCAGTTCTGCAGTACTAGGATTTGTGCTAACCATGATTTCTCCTGCATAACAGCAGCTAATCCAGCCATTCACACACCAAATGACTATCCCATTGTGGGAGCTGCCATTTTTATTTTTGGGGGGTGGCGCTATTGCCCTGCAATAAATTTTACAATTACGAAACTGCTGGGCCACTGTTACAAATTCTGTGTCCAAAGTTAAATGCTAATGAGCTAGATACAGACACACACAACAAATCCCTCAAAAGTAAGAGAGGATCTATCAAAGCTGATCTATTTAAACTGAGCACGCCCATGTGATGACCACTCCATACATTAATTAGTGGTGCATACTCTGTAACATACATGCAAAAATGTGTACGTTTACTTCCATGCAATGCATAAGCCCATTGTTTTTGAGCAAAAGCGTCATGTGTTGTTCAGGACTCTCATAGTGAAATAAATGAAATTGGGCCCAGGAAAGTGTGTAAACAGTTAAATGCAATACACATGGGTGGTCATTTCACTGTTGAGTACAGTTTGCTTGAATTCCAAGAGATTTTCTTTTTAACCTTTGAAATATTTGAAATGTTATTAACAGTCGGTCATAGATTCCTCTGAAATGCTGCATGGCATTGAAGTTGAACAGATAAAAACAGATTTATTATTTCTTTGTTAGAATTAATAATCGTAAATACTGTATAATGTACTTTTTGCGCACAAAATATTAGGAATGTAATTTTAGTATTCAACTCAATAATTATTCTTTACCTCAAAGTTAAAACCAGATTTTCTTAAATCAAATTTATTATTTGGACTGAAATTCAATATGTTGCATTACTTGAATTACATGTACATGTACATGAATGTACACTTGTAGGCTAATCAATATGACTTAAACATAACTACCGGTACTTGTAAGCAGTTTATTGGTTGTGCTAACAATTGGCTGAAACAAGTAGTTCAGTGTTCTTTACAGAAGTGAAATCCCAGCAATAAATTTCATTTTGACATGAATGCACAAATTATATTTTGTTTTACATGTATGTCGTCAATCTACACACCTGTTCTGATTTTTTTATTTACCGGTATATGAAGTCCTTTGTTTTGTCATATTTATTTTTATTTTTCAGTCGTTAGAGGCAGTACCAAGAGAACATACTAGAGAGGAAGAAAAACTTTCATGTACATGTAAACCTTGTACACAGCTGTGGAGTTTTAGAAAGCATTAATCCTAACATTCCTCAATCCTTCAACAGCTGTCCATCTCCTTAAAAATCACTCAGATACAAAGAGTCCAGACAATTTGTTTGATGAAAAATCATAAGTAGAAATTTTTATTGAAACATGAAAAATATTTAGGATCTGAATCTCTCATTTCGTTTATTCATAAAGCATTGAAATTTTAAAGTTTTAAAGTACAAGTTTTATAATTAAGATATATTAAGATGAGATATCAAGTGGATCGACACAATGTAACTATTCCAGAACTGGTAAAAGACACATATTCATTACTTTTCTTTGAATAAAGTATTCATTCTCTGAACTTCAAGCATGCATTTGTGAAAAAGGAGCAAGGCTTAAGTAACTAAAGATTTCAAACCAAGGGGGTAAACATGATACCACATTTTCCCCCCAAAAGCTACATCTGTATTACCCAAGAGTCTTAAGTCCAGTTCATACTTCAGAGGAACGCAAAGGCTTAGGAAACACAACACTGCAAAACATTTGCAATGAAATTTGCTTGAGCTGAAATGACTTCAACTTTTACAACTTCACAAAAAGAACATTTCATCTGACCTCACAATGTAGTGGTTTTATCCCTTTGAGCCAATAACTAACCTGCCTTTAAGGATACACACATCCAACCTTTCTCACATTCCCCTCAAACTTGACAGGATGTTACAAACTTGGATTTTGGTTTCTTTTCATACCAAATACGAACCTACTCTGAAACTTCCCAAATCTAGTCAGTGTCTTTGTTCAATTTAGAATTAATAGGCACTGTTATGTAACCTTTGTTCCTAAGACCCCATAAGGACCATTCTGACTGGAGTCAGTAATTTATACACGCACATTACCAGCAAATTATGCAGAAAAGTACTCAACTTACAAATTTTAGTCACAAATACCTAAGTTGTACATATAGGAACTTTTCAACAGGAATGATTGATCAAAATGTATGAACTAGTATTTCAACTTTTTTCAAAATTATTGCAGCTCAGCAGTTTATTCAATATATTTTGATACATTCAGAATTTCTTTTAATGTACACGTATACTTAATAGGCACACAAGCATATTCAAACAATTCAATCTATATACAGATAACATCAATGCGGTTTCGACCTGAGCTTGTTACTCATATTGCAATTGTACAAGCCATACATGTATGATCATATATTCAGATTTATTTTCTTTAAAAGTATTGAATTTAAAACGTCAGTCTCTTCTCCACGATCAATACCTGCGCTCCCCCAATATTCAAAGTAAATGGTGTAGGTTTGCAAATTGTCGGTTACCATGGCAATGCCATGAATGATTGATGGACTTTTTTCCCCAGACCCTCACTTAAGTAAGCCTTTAGTCAACAGTCACGGGATCCAAGCTCTGTCTATGAATGGAGTGCACCCCAGTCACATACATGTATTGGCAAGAAGTACCCAACCAGGACGGAGTTCAGTAGGGGGCTAATTTTATGAAGTACGAGTACATGTACGTGTATATACTGTGCATGTACATGTACATGTACGTACAGTACACTATCACAACTTTGTTCAGAGGAGCACAACAAAAATATGAAATATTACACTTGAAAAATCAGTTACTGCAGCCCAAGTGCCCTTTAATTACATGTGAATGTACACTGTACATACCGTACAATGCACATGAATCAGTACTACTTACATGTACACAAACATGTACATGTAAGTACAAGCACATGTACTTCCAAACATTACATTATCCAAGTGCATGTATACTCAGGGTGTGCATCAAAAAGTGCATGTTACACATTCATGTACATGTACATACATGTACATACATGTACATGTATACTGTGTAGTACATAGCGGGTAATTACCGAGCATCTCCATACGTACCAAGTACATGTAGGTGTCACACTCTTGAGTTAATGCTGTGAAGATTGGTAGATCTAGCCTGCAATGTACCAGTACATGTATGGGGCCACACTGTCGCCTACCAGGTACAATGTACATGAACATATATACAATAATCTTAGCAATCCCAGGAATGCATCCCCAGGTACTGTATCTTTAAAGACGTTCTGTATCTCAGAGAGCAATTTCACATGCTGTCTTTTTTTCTTTCTTTTTTTAAGACGTACATCCAGCTCTTTTTTTTTAAAGCTGTAACCAGCTTGTTTTAAACAAAGCATCATTTAGCATAACTTGAACAATTGGGCAATTAAAATTTATGGGCAGTGTGAGCTGTGAAACTATCACCTACTTTCCAAGTTGGTCGGGTTTATGTTTAGCAGTAGGATGATGGCAGTTTTGGTAAATTCCTGTTTGAAAAAAGAAACAGTTCTGAAGAGCAGGGTCACATTTTGTCTACTCTACATATAAATGGCATACATTTTACATTGCAATCACAGCAAGCAGCAGACGCCAAAAGTTCAATGTTAATGCAATAAATGGTCACATAATATTAAGTGTAATTCCATATTCTCTATGGTCCAACAAATGCTAACGGTACATGTACCGGTACATGTATGTGTGTGTGTGTGTGTACATACACATGTGTCTGTAAGTTCATGTACATGTACACGTACTCAGACCTACATGTATAGTATATGTTCCAAACATATGAAACAACTACTGTCAAGATCGCCTCCAAACTTGTTGAAAATGCAAGTGATTCTCACTCGTAGTAGAACATAAGAAAAACAATTCACTCAAGATTATTTAGGATTCTTTTCTGTAAAAGCACACCAGCAGTGAGACAAGGTGTAATGAAAATGTAAAACAACGCTGCAATAAGAAAAAAATAATACGCTCATTTTGCAATAGTGCGCCACCAAGAGTTTGCAACGCGTTGGCCAATCACAATGCACGAAATTTGTCGACCCAATGCGCGTTTGGAAAGGGTCAACAACTTTCGCGCGTTATGATTGGCCAACGTGTTGCAAACTCTTGGTGACGCACTATTGTGAATCGCCCGTATTGACACTTCATTTGTTTACAAGTACAAGTACTGTACATGTACAATTAACTCATTTCAATATGACTTTGTAATTAAAATTTACAAACATGGTAAGACCTATAGAAATATACACTTTCAACAGCTGCAGAAAATTCAAAATTCTAACGTTTCATGTCTATAATTTTTACTTTTGGGGACAAACACATATGTACAGTATTTGATGTACATGTACATGTACTGTACATACACATGTATGCGTATGTGTACACCTATTCAGTCTGCCTTTTGCAAGCATCTGACTTTGCAAGATGTGAACAACAGCAGGTAAAATCTGGTGGGGGGACCTAAAAGTGATTGGAACTTGGCCCCTTTTGACATGTTTGATCTGTTATCAATTGTAAACCAAGTTTTCAATTTTTTTATTGACCGGTTCATGTACACGACATAAGGCTGGATCTCAGCAAAATCCTTGATAATGTACCAAGTACAACATGTGCATGTACATGTACATAATGCACAGGGATTTTCATTCCTATCTTTCTCAGCAATCGTAAGTACTCGTAGTTTTACAATGTTTTATGTGCACTTGTAATTCATAAGTTAACACACCATACATGACAATTATTTATACTGAAACAATTCACATTAGTATTCGTCTCCTTGGTAATTGCATTGTCAATTCCTTCCCTCATCACTTGCGTACATGTGTACATGTCGTGTGCATCTGGCATTGCCCATTTTTATGTGAAGGGTAACCATCACATTAGGAATACAACTTTTAAATTAAACTACTGTACATATACATCTATTGCAACATTTCTTTTATACATGTAAGCCCTGACTTAAGAAAGTACTTCATAACAAAAACATAAGTGCTGCAGAAAAGTCAATCTTAAAAAAGTACCAATTCACTTTTGGACAAATTAAATAAACGGAAGCAAATGGCAGTTTTTATTTAATGGTTTAAGTGAAAGTTTATCCAAATACATGTATAAAGAAATTGAGATTTTACCATGGCCTAAAATGGAAAGAAATACATGTACACAGTGGTAGATGTACCAGTAGCCGTGATAGCAGCGTTAATAATGCTAAAAATAATCCATTGAAAGCTTTCACTGTCACATGTTTATTCCGGTGTTATCCTCATTATACCATGCACTGTACTGCACTAATTTACTTACAGTGGCCTGGACAAACATGACTTCAATGCCAAATTGAAAAGAAAACTACAACCTGGGCTGGGTCTACGGTATTACGTTATAGGGTAAAGTTTTCATTCGGCACGTACAAACATCTCCCATCCAGATCTCTCTCTCTCTCTTTCTTTGGATGGAGTAAAGAAATAGAAGGAGTACAAAAAAGCCTAAAGTGACCCTTGTATTCACAGGTGGAAGGTACCGGTACGGTATGTACCTCAGTTGGTACTGGGACATGGCATTGGTACCTTCAGCCTGTACATATATAAAGTAAATTTTATACAAGTGCATATGTCTGGACATACAGTGTATGTTCATGTACCAGCTGAATGAGCTCATGACAGTATCCACTACACGTTCACTCTGACAGCTGTCTGAGCACATGCTAATTATTAATGCTATTGATCCTCAATTGCTGCTATTGATTGCTACATGTAACTACAGCGTATCCCCTTTGCTGTGCGCAGGTGATTTGTCTCTGAGTGGGTCTCGCAAACTACAAACAGGACAGGTACATATACATGTATGTACATGTACATGTACTTCAGGTGTACCGTAAATGTACGTGTACGTACATTTACGTACATGTACAGTATGTAATGTCTGAGATCATTTCTCTGCACTTTCTTGTGCAAACCCTTCAATTTATTAGTTGTCACATTAATTGATGAAAATGGGAAATATGGCCTTGTGCTAGCCATCTGACACTCTTAAGTACCTGTAAGTTCTTGGGCTTACTCAGGCTTGGTCCAAGTGACCAACCTGAGCCAGTGAGTTACTGTACATCAGGAAGTACTGCATCTCAAATTACATGCCAAAACATGGTGGCTTAGTAAAACGTTGCGAACAAAAATTCATACATGTACTACTATACAAATTCAGAAAAAGATACATGTACATGTACATGTAATTCTGCATGTCATGAAAATTGAATCAAGTCATCTTACATAGTTCAATTATGGAAGAAAGGCTCAGAATGTGTATTGGACTTTCGTCCATCCTGATTCATTTTGCTAATTTTATCAATGCATCACCTCTTGACCTGGTGGGGCACCTCGAGTGTCCAGATTCATGCCCACTGCCCACCCAAAACTTTGACAACACCACAGTCTGACAGTTAAGCGTGAGGGAAGTAATCAAACACGCTGATAAAAGACACAAAGTTCAAGCTCTAATTCTAGCTACTGTACTATTCATAAGGAGATTGCAAAACATGTAAGTTAACATGGATATCAGGCTTCATCTACATGTTCATGTAGGTAGCATACATTTTGATTGCAATGTAATGATAACTTGTTCTCATGTACATGTACATTGTACACTCAGGCATTTCCTTCATGATTGTTAATGTGGAAACAAAACTGAAAGGCGGTAAGGGATTGAGCTGAGCTACACATACATGTAACTGTACATGTACATGTTCAGGTCTGCAATTCTCACCCTTTCAAATTATGACCTTGTTATTTTGGGCACAGCAGAAGCAAAGATCGGCACAATAAATTTATCCTTTTGTACCGGTATCATTTCTCTTTCGACAAATGAGCAGATGGCTTTGTCTTCTCTTTTCTGAACAGGATCTCTCATTGATCAGCTTTCTCCTTGAAAGAAACTGAGGAAGAACACGTATGCACAGAGCTGCATGCAAGTGAACTGGGGGCAGACTCCGGGAGTGTGGTTTCTGAATCTCATACATGCTGCAGATGTGTTTACTGAATCAACACCGAGTGAAAAGGCATACGTGTAAATCAGCACATGTCCGCTTGGTAGCAAAAAAGACACTGGGGGTTATACCTTTATCAGATCTTTCCTTTTTTTGTTACATGCAGCATGTCTTTATTACATGTAGCTTTATCCTTGAGAACTAGCTTGAACACCTCCGAGTTTCTTCTGGCCTACGCATACATTGTACATGTACATGTACAATGTAAATGTAGTGACAATAATTAGCTTTTACACTGTAGTAACAGGATAACATAAATTAAGGATGGTGTGATCACTTTCCTGCATTTATTTTTATCCTGAAAAATGTTCTAATAACAATTCCATGATAATCCTGGAACTGCTCCGTTACTGAATGGAAAATTTTTAAGTTTAAAGGACTGAAGCTCTGAGTCAATTTATTTGAAAACATCACACATTTTCTCTCCATTTGCAGTGCACCACTTTATAGCCAACTGTAAAAGTACTAAAAAAAAAATTTAACAGCTGCTTGAAAGAAGTTAAAGTTTTACCTGCATATGCACAGTACAGCTGGATGTACTGGTGCATATAGGCCTGCCTGTACATGTACATGTACATGTATCTTGCTCATGTACATGTGTACATGTGTACAGGTACATGTATGTACTACATTGTACTGTATTTTGTGAGGACTCTGCTGTATCCAACAACACTTGTAAGGTCAAGTAGGGATTATATTCATGTTATTAAGCCACTCTCAGTGGTTTGAAGGTAGCGCTCCAAACGCGCATACAGTGTACATTTAATGTACTAGTACATGCATCAGTGATGCACCCAGGTCTTGGATCAGGGCGGGGGGCCAAGTTGGTTATAAAAATTACGGTCCAAGTTTTCATTTGCAAAACAATTCTCATCCCCCCCAATAAAAAAAAAAATTTAATAAATTTTTAAAAAGTGGTAGAACCATTTCTAAAATAATGCCACTTTCAATTCCTAAAACAAAAACACAACAAATGAACCCCCCAAAATATTTCCAACATGTCTCGGGGAGGGGGTGAGGAGGTGGAAGGTTATCCTGTCCCCCTCCCCTCCCGAGCCACTCCCTCTCCTTTGGATATGCCATTGGTATGCACATAACAGCAAATCAGCTGTCCCAGCGGCCCATTTCAAGAAGTATGGATTAATTGTGATTTTTGGTAGCACCCTCAACTTGAATAAGCTTATAACATAGATCTCTACATTGTAAATACATTATCACAAGGACCTTTATTATGGGTCTAATTTGGAACAGATATCTTCAAGAAGTGCGTGTTGCACTTTAAGTCCTAGAACAGACCTGCAATGGACGAGTACATGTACATGTATGTTAACAATAGAATCTAGAAATAACAAATAAGATTATCAATCACTGTATACACCATCCCCTTACCGGTACAAGAGTGCTGTACATGTAGATGGCAGGAGGCTGCATACACAGTACCAGTATTTCACTTCACACTGTTGCAGGCAATCCACTCAACAATACTTCATTTACTGCTCATAAACAGCTTTTAGACTGAATGTTCACATCAACTCAGAAATGATTCAAATCCGAACACATTAACTTTGCACTCAACAGATTTTATGACTACAACGTACCCCTATACTGTACCTTCAGTATCTTACATGTTTCATCGCTTTGTGGACTTCTGGCGCATGGAGGACCTCATTTTCTTGCTGGTCTTCCTGCTCAAGACTGGAATAATCTCAGGACTCAGGGACATCATGTCCTGCTCACTGAGAGACCTGCGGAACCCAACACTGTCCTCAGCACTCTTCTCCGTGTCATACCGGGTCAGTCCCCAGCTCTCAATGTTGGGCTGGTTGCGCAGGTAGCCCAGCTCACAGATTGCCTTGTACTGGTCGGGGATCTCCATCAGGACATTGAGGGCAAAGGCCGCCTCCGCATACTTGGCCTTGCTGCAGACCTGGTAGAAGTTCACAAACTGGAAGTTATCAAATTTCCGACTGGGAAGGTTGTCGTCGTAGTGTTCCATGGCGTCCCAGGGTCCATCCCCGATGCCGACCACCACGATGCTGATTGGATACTTGGAGGCTTCAATAATAGCTTTGGCATTGCTGTCCGTGTCTTTCAATTGACCATCTGTCAGAATCAAGAGGAGGTGGTAGGTTGGTTTCTCCTTCACCACTTCAATAGCTTTCTTGATTAATGGCTCCAAGCTGGTTGGGCCACTTCTCTGAATGTCTGGACAAACTTGGTTGTAGCACTGTAGGACTTCCACAAAACCGTAGCAGGGCTCCTCATCTGGTTTCAGTGAAAACACGGACACATCCTTGCTGTTGACATCCCCAAAACCGTAAACGGGGATGAGATGGTCAGAGTCAAATCTCTCCAAGGTAGCACCAATGATTGTCAGCGCCCTCTGGTAAGGGTTGAACGTTCTCCCGTTGGATATGTCATGGAGGCATCTGGAAGCAAACACACGCCGACCTTGCCACTCATTGCTGGCACTGAAGTCAATCCCGATGATGATCTCGCTCCGCTCCAGGCCAGCCATCTTGATGGCCTCCACCACCTGCTCAAAGGTATTGAAGCGGTCAACAAACGATGTGAACGTCGGGCACTGGTGGAACGTCAGCCCCAGCTTCTCAAAGATGCTGGTCTGGTTGAACGTGGCCTCTCGTCTCCTGCTGCCCTTGGGTTGCCGCTGCTGGCCCACCGCTGGCTGATACATCTGGTGGAGGGCCAGATAGGCCAAGATGGCTATGACGAATAGCACCAGTGCCATTGCAACCAAACGATGCAGGCATTAAGGCAAGACAGACATTACGTCTTGAGATTAAGAAGCTTCTTTTTACCTGAGGGAATCAAAGAAAATGATTAAATTTGAAAGATCTTTCTTATATCAAATGTTTCAGTGTAAAATTGAGGTCTACATACCGGGTACATGTGTGTAACAACCTGTAGCTCATGTTGAAAACAAATTAAAACACAGAAACAGAACAAACTAAAAGAGACTACTTTCACTTCACTCTTTTTTTACAATGATCCACAATTCAGTATACATGACATTACATCTAACTTACTTTTTTACAATGAAAACCCAATTTTTTTCAACTTCAATATATCATGTAAATACCTTTCCAATGTTGAAAACACATTGATGGATTTCTATTTATTTATGCTGATCCATGTTTGACACCAAGGCACACTTTTCCACTCTGTTAAATGAATTCAAGCTGAGGTGACAAAGCAGACTGCCTCATTTTCACACCTCAATCAAAAGGTTACAAAACAGCAGCAACTTGACTGGGCAACTGTCTACAGTGTACATCATGATTGAATGCACTTTGAGTACTGTTGGCTGCCAATTTTCCTGATTTCCGTCGCCTTTGGCCATGGTCTTTGACAGCAGTACAAATTGCATGTACAATGTATTTCCTCCCGTTAAAGACGAAGGAAGTGAAATGAAAAGTTCTTTTCACTTACAATGACAAATGCGAAATAACATATTGGTTTTCAACCGCAACTTGAACCATATTGAGCAAGTGCTACACGTGCCTCACAGTGTCTATGAACGTACTCATGCATGTACATGTACATTCAAAACTGGATCTAACTCAAGCTGTCAATGTTTATTTGTAATGCTAAACGTAACAGCCAGATCCATGCCGGCAAAGACTCTTCCAATCCCTCGGTGCCCAACAGCATCTCAGCAATAGCTGGCATCATGCAGGAACACTGACAAAAAATACCACTTACTGAATCCAATTCAATTTGTCACAGAAAACCCTGTGGCCGTTTTCTGTGGGTGGCACATGCCTAGCTACTCATACACAGTGTATATGTAACATGCAATGTTGGCAAGGGGGATAGAATAAGACTGTCAGGATATGGTCCACTGTACAGCACCGTACTCACCATGGCCAAGTACGGAATCACTTTCCCCTCAGGTCTACTAGTAGCATTTTCCCCTCCACATCAGAAGTATTGAGCTACATGTACACGTAGCACCGATGCTGCCACATTTAGCACCACTTTTACTGGATAGCTCATATACTGTACATGCCCTTTCTGCCGAGTTTGGGAAATATCGCACACGTGTGCAAAAAGCACATCTCCGGCATCAATGATAATCAATACATATAATGGAGTGTATTTCTCATTTATAACTTGTTCCTTCAGTAAAGTTTCACATATGAGCTTTGAGCCTACAAATTCTCATGCACTCATTAATTATAAATAAATGGGAATTTTACTGAAATAAACTGGCCTTTGCTAAAAATATCGGTAATACGAGTAGTTACAAAATGAGCGAATACACTAAACTGTCAATTGTATTGAAGGACGCAAGTCTTGGAAAGTGACATTTTTGTCATTGGTTTTTCAAAACAGCTGCATGTATGCACAATCTGAAACTTGCCAACTTGGTCACTCTTTTGCATACAGTTGTAACAAGACTGACATAAAGCATTGTCTTAGAAGGTGGAAAGATCCCCTCAGTACAGGGGAAAAGATCCCCTCTGTCCTAAGTACATCTTTCACAGTAACTGAACATGGATTTTATGTACAATGTACATGTACTTCAAGTACACATACATGTACATGTACATGCAGGTCCACAAGCAGACATGTATGCACTTTACACGTCAGTAACTCAGAACAACATGTACATGTAATTAATTCCTACTGACATATACACACTCTTACCATTAACTTCCACCATGTGTTTATTAAACATCCAGCATTCCTGAGCAATGCACACAATGATAAGTACATGTACATGTACATGTATGATTCACAGTACATGTTCCTCCATATTGATGAAGCAAAGTTATACAAAAGCTGATAATCCCAGTAGCGCACAAACATGTTTCACTCCACAAAGTATACGCACTGGGACATATGCTGCTTGGGAGCAAAGGGCAATGCCATTTTGGTACATGTAGATGGAGCCTATCACAGCTTTGTAAATAATTCTCAAATTTGCGCGCCTGTGTGGTTGCATATTAACCTCGCTCAGGTACCTAAAGTGTAATTCATTCAGATAAGTAATTGCCAAGATCATAGACCAAGGCAGACCTCTACAGTACTGTATGCCATGACCAGGGGCGTGGCAAGGGTCTCGTATTTTACAAGCGAGTGTGACAGACTAGACTTTTAATCATAAAAACAAGACAAAACCAACAGTGTTAAGGTTTGATAAAGGTGTACATGTACCAGAAGGTGCCTTTTAACTGATGTTCCATGCCCTTTCATTTCGTCAAAGAAAAAAATGCACTTTTAACAACAGAGACAGGTCTGTTAATAGTATTTTTCCTGGTTTACACATGTACATGTACGTACCGGTCATGGGTACTGGTTCATGTGTAAATGTATGTATGTACAATGTACATTCACCTTTTCAGTGATTGTTTCTGAAGCCCTGGGTACATGCATGCTTTTTAATCAATGATTAACCCTCACTTTTTTTTCTAGATTTGCCCTAATCAACCCAATACCTGTACACGTACCTGTAATAGTACTACTTTTATCTAGTCTCCTCATTAATTAATGTGTTGCCAGCCTCCTACTTTATCAACTGTTTAAGACTGGCCACGAGACAGGCTTTGGACCAGTAACAATTGTCAATTGTCTTAGATATCCGGTACTGGTACCTGTATTTTTGAATACAAGTATGTTAGCTTTTTAACTCCTTTTTAATTCCTGGTAAGCACATGTGCTGTAAAATGTATGGTATCTTCTTGCAATGTTGAACTGGGCCCACCAAAGTGAAATAAATGGAAAATAATTAAATGAACGATGTGAAGTACATGTAACAACATTTTGTACAAGAACCAGTCTATTATTTCACACCATCAGTTGTTTAATTATGGAACTACATAACTAGTACCATATTTATTCCATTAATGATGTGAAATTAATTTTATTTCATTTCACATGCTTCACAAGTAAGAAGCTCACATTCATTATGAAAATGGATCCAATTATTTTGTCCATCTGTGCACAGGGACTGGGAGTCCAAACTACTGCAGCTGAGAAAGACACATGTAAATATACCAGGTACACGTACACATAGCATTTTAAAAATGTAAAAAAGAAAATTCAATATCTACCGGTACATATACACAGGTGAAGTAATTAATGTAGCTGGGACGTGACATTTTATTTCATCATTTTGATTTAATGAAATTCTTTACACTAATTAAACATTTTTATAACATCTACTGCAAGTATCCACTTAAAAGATTTTGTTCCAGCCAAGTACATGTACATGTACCTGTAGTAGGCTGCTCCAAAAGCTGAAAAAAAGTTAATGTTTATCAATATACATGTACATGTAGTTTCAAACATTTATGAGTTTCTCAATCATGCATGCCAGACAAAATTTTGCTTGCGATCATTTAAAGTTTTGACCTACTGGCTGTAGTCAATTAACTTCAGCTTATGTGCCCACCGTCATTCTTCATTGGCCATGCCATTCATTTTCTTCTTATGTAAATTACATTTCCAGAGATTTGTGCGCTGGGTGTATCCGTTCTTGCCATGGTTGAAAAGTAGTGAAACCTGTTCTATTTCTTCAAGCATGTCTACTCACCAAAACAATAGGCACTTTAACACGTCTCATTCAGACATTTTTAGGCACAATCTTTAAGCCCTACCAAGGGAATTTTTTTTTTCATTTTTGAGTTTTTATAATGCAAAAAGTGGCACTAATCTCTTTCAAAAACTAGTTTTATTTCATTTTTGACAGCTTCCTCATGAAGTTTTACAAGCTGACATGAAGGATTTTATTTTCCATGGAGAACAGATTCTCAATAAGAGGTGGGGTTACCCTACATGTAGTTAATCAAGCTTGAAAGAATTAATTATTAATTAATTTTCAACATTTTCAACCAACTTTAATGAAGAACCAACAGGGTGAAAAGTAATTCCCTCCAAATCTGATTTTGTTACCACTTGAAGAACTTCCACATATCACAAACACTATGGGACAATGTAAATTTTGCATAGATACTGAAGTGCTTTCCAAATTGTTTTGAATCATTTAGAAGTCAAAAAACCCACATACAGTATGTAAAAGTATAAGAACCCATGACTGCATTGGCGCCATGCTTGTGAACTGACATACGTTACACCCCTCTTCGACCAACAGGGTTGGGACTAAGACTGCACTAAACATGCATGTTTTGAAACAACCTCTTTAAGAAAGCAATAAAGAATTCTGAAAACAGAGAAATGAACTTTCTGACAACAGACTCATTTTTTTTTCACACTTCTCATTTTTGCTAAAGCACTTGTCATAGCAGCAGTCCATAAAGGTGAAAATGTTTGAAAGTACTGTTTTGTGCATTCTTATCGAATGGGCGTTGTACATGTACAGGGGTACTTGTACGACTATTACTTTGACTAGTTAACATCAAACATTTCAAAAATTTGATCAACTGTAATACAAGTGATATTTTTTTCAAATTTACTTCTCCTGACAGGGTTTAAATCCATCTGTCCCTCCTCATGCAATGTCTGACAAGGGGGCACTTCCTAAATCACAGGCAAATGTACCAGTGCATGTACATGTACCAGGAGCATTTTGTACATCACAGTTTTACACTCAGATCGATAACATGTAGAGAGACGCATCCCCTTACAGTGCTTCCACACTTACAGCAAAAACCAATTTACTACTCTATCCTCAACCACGGCTCTTAAATTAATGCAGATCATCTCTTACTGGGCTTGGTCAAAAGGCCTTGTGTGCACACTGCAGGTAAATTTAATATTGACTCACTCTGCTGTTATGGATACTTACTGATAGGCAAGTGCAGAAATGTAAACAAACATTCACATTAGTTACAATGTGGTACAGGAGACTGTTATCTCTTATCCTGTACAAGGCATGCCAAAAATTGTAGACTGTCTCCAACGAGTCTTTGTGAAAATTAACCTTTTGCCACATAATCAAGATTGGGCAGGAAATGCTATTTTGTACAATGAGGAGAATCAAAAACCAAGATAATGGAGTCTTCATAACCCCTTCAATTTACATGATTTATTACACTTTACATTAAACACTCACCTGATTCTAAAACAAAAAAAAGATGTGCATACACGTATGTACACGTACAAATGGAAGCTTGGTTTGCCCCAGAGTTAAAAAAACTAAAATGCTAATTGTCAATATAAACGATCACTTTACCCAATTTGTACAAGCACCAAAGGTGTCAAAGTGTTAGCTGAAAAGGCGGGACTTTTGTTGATGGAACTACATGTACAGTAAGCTGCATTCTGTTTGAATTGCTTGAAACACACAGAAGTCAGCTTACTGATGAGATGTGCAGAAACAAATGCTGAGCAACTTGGATGTAACAAGGTAAACTGATACTTCATGCTAAATCCCTCCAGACTTCCAAATCTGAATATCAAAATGCCCCCAAAGAGATTACGATCTTCAAATACAAGGCAATGATGAAATGGATCCACCAGCTTTTGTATCAATTTACTAAGAGGAATTACATCACTCTACACATGATCCGACATGATACAATCTTCCCAAGCCTTGAGTAATTTAATGCTAGTACCGGTACATGTGAGACCGACCACTGCAAGTCACTTTTAAGAACAGAAGGATGAGAAGCCAATCTGCTACTGTGTCGGAAAATAAGAGGTCAAAATAGAATTTGACACCACATACATGTACACGTTTGCAAGCACTCCGGTTTTATGATACATCTGGATGAACATTAACTTTGAACTGCACAGTGCTGGACTACGGTAACTTACAGAGCAATTCAGCGAGGACCCACTGCACTGAGAGTCGGTCCCCCACAGAACCCGTCTTCCCCTGTTGTCATGGTGTCAGCAACGACGATGAGGATGAGAGTGGATGACGAGGATGCAGTGATGTCAATACCCTTGAGCAAATCACCTGTAATGTCAACAGCTTCCACCTATCTTCTTGAATCAAAAATGATGCTGCTCTCCAACATGCCACGAAGACAGACGCTACAGATTTTTTTCCTTTCTAATCTGAACATGTAGTTGGTGCAATGAGGAGTCTTACAAGGCAGACTTGCCTGGAGGGTGCAGATGGTGTGTGAAAATGGGACGTCAAAGGAAGCGACAGTACGGTAAATTGGGCTGTGCAAGATGTCAATCTAATCTGAATAATTTTTGATGATTTTGACACTGGATTTTTCAATTTTTTTGTTTTGCATTCGCACCTTTGCAAGGAATATCCTATTTCTATAAACACCAGATGACAAAAAGTCTGCAATTTTGTCCAGGGCATCCGGGTACCACTGTGCACACGTACAAGTACTAAGCACCCTCATAAGATGTAACGAGCATTTCGCTTTCCTTCATAATTCTGCAGTGTACATGTACATCATTATGCTGAATTCTTCTTTTCTGGCAGGCTTGGGAATTGCTACAAAAGAGACGACAACTTGGCTGAGATGATATATGAATAAGTGACATTAACTGATTGAATCACAATTCAGCCCAATCGCTAACATTTGCAGTAATGTGATCGAGTCCATACTTACCGGTACATCACACATGCTTAGTACAACCATTATTGTAACATTATACACCACTACATTTTCACATTGTTCGTCAATTGGATGTACAGTGTGTACTTAAACGGCTCTTTTTTTTTGCACAACCCACATAAATGTAGATAATGTACGGTAGGACAATCTTGTCCAGTAGAATAGGGCTGATTTTCTGATGCATCAACTACACAGTGAAAAATAATATGGAAATTTGTGTAACCAAACACTAGCAGAGCCCGCATATTATTCCAGACCCCAGTAAATGTCACATTGTGTGGGCACGCAGCTATGGGACGTACAGGAACTCTTGAGAGTTGAAAGTCTACATCGCTGCAGATGGCATGGAAGTCACAGGGGGTACTGTGGTTCACAACAGATATCAATATCAATTCCATGGTTCCATGACTTTAAATGACCTTTTCAAATATACAAGATGATATACTTGTACTGGTACATTTTATATTTGGCTAGAATAATACTTGAAAAATGGATTGAATTGATGATCTGAATTTGATTCACAAAATGTACGTGTAGAGTATGTGTAGGTCTAACAAGATATGAAACTGAGGTTTTTTCAGATGTGCATTCCTTGTTTAATCATAATTAAAGTGGTAAGAAGTGTTTAAATTTGACACTCCATCTGAAAGTCAAGTACATAACTTGCATAAACTTACAATGTACATGTAGGTGTTTGCATTACGCGTTCCTTGAATGCACTGAAGCAAACATGTACATGTACCTTACATGTATTTTCTAGTTTGATGAGGTCATATAGCATTTTAATGCTTTACCTACATAAACAGTACATTTTGTATTTGTTTGTTAAGTGCAAAATAACATTGCTGTAACATGTACCGGTATTATACATTCATGTAAACTGTGTAATTATTGATTGAATGAACAATGGGCCATTTACACATGTACATGTATGTACATTACCCAATTCTCCTTACAAGAGCTTTCAGTTTGATGGCATGAATATCACTTTGCATCTGCATGTAAATTTTGACTCAAGAAATGTGTTTCAGATTTGAAGACACACTTGTTGGTTGTCATTCACCATACTTGTTTATAACAGAGAGAACTTGTTCCAACAATGATGAGCTACATGTAGATGAACACATACATGTATGGTTCATTTATCATGGGATCTTTAGACGTAAACACTTCAACAGGTAAACAAACTGCAAGTTCCTCAATAAAATGCATGCACAGAATTAATGTTTTAAAAAGGCACAGGTACATGTAGTAAATACACCCGTATACACATGCATTTTTTTAATACAAAACACAGTAAAAGGAGGCCAGTATTAGAGTACAGTACAATATGTCATGTTCACAAAGTTTCCCTGATTGTTTTACATTTTGCCATGTCTTGAGCACTCAACAACAATACCAGTACATATATTCTTCATGAGCATCAGGCCAAGGAGGCAAAGACTGGATTAAAACTCTAACTCAATATCTGCTTTTGTAAAAAAACTCAGAGTCCATTGTCAAGTCAAAACTGTGGGGTAAATGTTGTTCTGAAAACAAAATGGAATACATGTACAACATTGACAGAACATCAAGTGGTCCACTCTTTCACTGAAATTCCGGTAACTGCCTGCATACATGTACAGTGTATGTATGTATGTACATTGCAGGGTGTTAAAACACTGACAGAAATTTACAATCATTGGAGAAACACTGTTAACGTGACTGGTCCCCAACCAGCCAATAGAGTCCATATACATGTACAACATGTATGAACACAGGTGTGCAACTAGCAGTTGATTTGAAAAGCTTGATGCACACAGGTGACACATTATACACTTCTTTTCTTATGCTCCACTTATAACTAGTGTACATGTACATGTACATGTACATTGAACATGACCCTGCAGCCAAGAAGAGTGACTGAGGGTACATGTACATGTACCAGTACCCACATTGGCACCACGATGGTGTGACAGCAAAGCAGCTCCAGCAGGAGTTTAACAAGACATTTTCTACCCTAGAGGTTTGAGAAAGGTTTGTACATGCAAGCTTTTTGCCACGTGTTCAGCAAATGTTGTGATGTCACTGTGCCTTCATATTCATATCTAGTGGAATTTACACCTTCTGCGACCAATTTTCAGACCTTTTCCTTTAAAAAAATCCTCCAGGGCCACAGATCACAGAAAGAAAATGAAATATTAATTTCATTCAAAACACCAAGTGATAATATTTAGTTAATACTGCAACTTTATGGGTAGGAAAAAATTTTGGCAACCACTGCCTTGAACCCAGTGTCAATTCAGAGGTAACAAACAATTAACAATTAGTGTTTATTTGCTCCAAAGCGAGAATGTTGTAGATTAGGATGTATTGGTTCAATGCTGGCCATATTAAAAAAAAAACGCTGGTCAGCTGCTGGTTCAAAACAAAATAAACTCAAGCAAACCGTTTTCCAATACTCAACTTCGTCTCCGTCTCAGGCTTTGTTTCCAAAACCAATCCCCGATAGAGGGCCTGAAGCGTTTAAATTAAATTGGATTACTGTAATTTTTGGCTCTCTTGCATCTTATTTGATGTTTTGTGGCACTATTAGACTAATTACTGCGCATACAGCTTCAAAGTTAGCTACCGTATAGATAAAAACAGTTGAAGCCTGAGACGGAGCCGAAGTTGAGTATTGGAGAACGGCCCAGGCTTCATTCTACTCCTACGTCTGTTGTACTCAGCAAAACCCATAATAAAACTAAGGGCCTAGTTTAGATTTTGCAGTGGACATTAGCTGACCAGACAACACCATAGCAACAGATGTGAATTGTTGGGTTTTTTTCAAATTAATTTTACAACTTTCACACTGCCCACTCTCATCAATTTTCTTTTTCTCATAAGTCGAAGATGTAAATAATATAATCCCTGCTACCGGTATGGCCTAAAAACGTCGAGACTTACGTCTGCACAATATTACTATTATCGTACATGTATATCATATAGGCCTAATATAATTATATCACGTGCGCCAAATACTGTACACTGTGCCATACAGGGGGTATACATTAAGAATTATAGCGTTGTTAATGCTACATGTAGGTTACGCTTACTGTAGTCTGTACAGCTTTACAGGTACATGTATATGTACCATAGGGGTGCATTCCACCAAATCGTTGTATTTCTGCGTGCGAGCTCATTAATATTTTGTGATCCCATGGGATTTTTATTATAAGACAGATCATAATTAGGAGGAATCGTAGAAATATTTCTATAAATCCCTAATTTGGGACTGATAGTTTCCAGTTCGGGGCATTTCTTTCACAAAAAGCCCCAAACTGCAGACCTACCGGAACATGTATTTAGGACAGAGGCAGGAGGCTACATTCAGAAATGAGCGCTTAGTTTTACTGGTATTTTTGGGGTATCTTCCTTCAAAGGCGAATAAAAAAAATTCAATGGCTAACACCCATGAAATTGAATGAAAAGTGATCTTCAAGTTCTAGCCATAATCTTGAATTTCCAGGGGAAAAAAAGGAGGCCAACCTCTTCACGAGAGTATTTCGGATGGCTTTCTATCGGCGCGTATTCAGGTATTTGGTTTAGTGTTAGACCCGTAAACTGGGCAAACAAATACTCCTCCCGTAAACAGGGCCCAACAAATACTCCTTTTAGGGGGCTAGTGTAGTGTAACCAAAGAGGAAGGACAGGCCTACCGTGGTTCGTGACGGCGCCGTATGACATTTCATCTGTTGAAAAATAGAATCGTACGTACTCATTCTCCTGTCCCCGTGGCCGTGGTTTCATCGACCTCGTACCAGCTTCTGCCGTCCATTGGTACCCGTAGTCTGTACCGTATATCAGGGAGAAGGTCCACCAGCCACACGGCATTTGTCTGCTGGTTTTGATCATTCTTTTAAACTTTAAGTTTAAGCGCCGCGGTCGCAACAAATACGCGATCTCCATGTACGCACCAGATAATTCCTAGTACGAAATGTGTGTTGGGGCAAGTCTGGTACCCGTACCCGTACCAACAAGTGAAGCTCGAACACTTGCAGCATCGAGCAGATACTGCAATAGCGCCACCACATTAATTGGAATCTTCGTGTAAGATTCGGTAAGTGAAGAATGAATGAAAAACCAATCAACCCATCCAATCAGTTGGTCAATCAGTTACGAATACTGCCGTCGGCATTGCCCTGGCCTCCGTACCATGGAGGTGTAAGGACTTAGTCACACACAAGAAAAGGAAGAACATTGACATTGTATGGGAAAATCACTTGTATTCATTCCGGAGTCCATTGAGCTTTGTCCGACCCAATAAATTATTGGGCTGTAGAATCGCTTCCAATTTGTTCGACTTTCAAACCTTTTTAAAGAATGAATGAGGACTGAATAGCATGGATATGTCTAGTTTCATCGCGGAGGGCGGTCACTGGCATGTGCATCTGAAACAAAATATACCACAGAGGACATTGATAGCAGAATCTAGAAGAATAAAAGCTCCGATCGGTGGCGATATCTACTACGGATGCCCCAGCGCTATCAGTGCCCTTCGGGTATCCTCAATGGCAAATCCTGACATCACAACCTTATTAGGCCCTATAAATCTGTAGTTTGGGTTGTCAGCTGTGTGCACACGGGGTTCCCAGCTTCCGAATTTCACGTGCACTGGTCTCGAAGCATGCATGCATTAAGATTGTGTCGTGACGGTTGCAAGGGCAGATCCAGAATCGTTGGGGCAAAACTTTGAAATTTCTTTTATTATAACCATGGCCTTTCTGAGGGTTGAGACTACATTTTGGTGCTTTAAATGAAATACATGAAGACCAAAAAACCCTTCATTTCAGTCACTTTCTTTTCAAAACAAAATCCATAAAGTCAAAAACGGTAGCTCTTTTTGGGGAGGAAGGCCCCCTTTTCCCTCCTCGGCTTCTCTCTTGGACAGCTACAAGATTTGCTGTCAAATTGTCTCACACATGGGCACTCGCACACAGTTGCACCCTTCACCATATTGAAACAGGTGTTTTCTCTCGGTCAGCTGATGCACTGTCTACCCACTGCAAGAAACGATAGAATTTTCAATTTTTCCCTCATTGGCGGAAGCGCAAAGGCACTGTCTTAAAACACTGGTAAATTTTCTCCGTTTTCAAAGGGTTCAAATCCTTTATTATTCAGAAAAATACTATGTTAACCTTGACTTGATAATCGTTAGTTGTGCTTTGCCTGTGAATTTCAGTCGAAACCCGTCGGTGCAGCTCTATGTAAGTAACATAATTGGCCCAAGTTTTGACTTACTCTAACAATCAAGACAACTAACGTCCCTGCACAAATAAAGGGCTGGTTGCATTCCCTTCACCATTACCATCTAGCAATAACCATAAATTTGAGTTTTCAGTTGAGGAGAAGCGACAAAAAAGTGGAAATTCTTTTATTCGAATGGGCGAAGACGCAAAGCGTCTGAGCCTATTTGAAACAAAGAATCCCCACTTTTTCAGTGTTTATCAGTCCTAAACCACTTTTCATTATTGTCTGTTGACCAAGAGAACAAAACGTTTTTTACTAATGATTTGAGTCATGAATTCCATCCATTTATTGTCCAGCGTTGGCTGAATAGACTGAAGCTTTACTCCGATAGCCCAAGCCGTTACTGTACAATTGCCAGGGTGCAACTTTTTGTTTTTCTTTAAGTTAACATGCGCGGAACAGGCGTTTCCATGAAGTCACGGGTCCGGTAGATATATACCCTGCACAATATACGGTAAAGGTGGAACCCCCCCCCCCATGTGATGCGCAAGCAGTATACCCTAAGGCTATTGTGCCTACTGCACCCCCCTTGGAAATCCCATATCGTGCATCGTATGGATCGTATAGGATGCATACCGCTCACAGCATGTATCTCGCAAGTCCAAGCTACATGTACATCAATCTTCAAGTTGTCAAATGCTATCAATATGCTTGTATGGGGTCTCTTTACACCACCAACAAGCACGTTTGGTGAGAGGCTGATTTGGAAACCACAGGTTACCATCCTTCAAGGCGTGACCACATTTACACCTTTGGGATTACTCATAGATATCCCTCAGTCACCGTAGGAAATTATTTCGTTTCAAAAACACATACATTTGGAATATCATATATGAAGTGTTGATAGGTGAGCTTCTGCAAGATTGATATGTTAGTATATAGTCATACAAACTTGTCATCTTATCGTTATTTCAAAAACTTTTATTTTAGTTACAGAGGAAGTTGGCAAAATGCGCATTACGAATACACAGACAAAATAATAATTAAAAAAATACTATACTTAACAATTTACTTTTAAATGAGTAAAAATGTCAAAAATGATGAAATAAAATGGAAGGAGCATGTATAAAAGGAAACAAGAGTGACACATTAAAAGTATAAGTGAAATGAAAGAAGTGCGCCATTTAAAATGAAAACCTGAACATAAAACAGAAAATATCAGCGCGGCAAATCGAATTATTAAAAAAAAATGTCAACCCGTATCGTCTAAAACGGTGTACTAAAGAGTGTTGGTTTCTCATTCTACTCGACGTGATTGAGTGTAGTATGAACTGCGATTTGTGTCTATCAAAACAATTTTAAGCGTCCGTTTTTCAAGAATGAACAGTCAACTGAACATTCTTCAGACTGATCAATACTTTCCGAATGGGGTGTCGTGACAAAGTGGTTTGAATGCTGTTATGACGGTAACACACAATGCGACAAGAAGCAAGTACTCAAGCTAAAGCCTGTTTCAGATCAACGATGATAACATGGTTTAAAAAGATGATGAATTGCACTACATGTAACTCTCTGAAAATCTACTTGTCCGAATAACATTGTTCTGTCTTGAACGGTGAACCCGTACCGACAACGACAGTGTCCCTTGAGAGGGGTGGGGCCCTGCGCTGGTAACTTATGGGTGGACGAGTTTTAGTTACCACATGACGATTATTATTACCGACGACAGAGTTTGCTTGGAAAAAATTACGGCTACCCAAGTAGTAATTGGTCAAAGCCATTTTTCCTGGTTCCAAGGCAAAATCTGGACAGATGTCACATCTGTTTTGAGTGTGCCTTGGTGGTTTGTTTTGGAGGTGGCCTGGTTTTGTATTGGCTTTGCCCTTAGTGTTAAAACTTCCTATAGAGGTTCGCTCCGCAGAGTGGTCGAAATTCTCTTGCCAAATGTGATCCCAAGTTTCATACGTCCTCGCGTTCATCCCTCTGTCAGCAGAGGAGGCTGTGTTACCCAAAGAGTTCATTCGGAGGTTGCTTCTCTTTCGACCGGTGCTTTTAAGATGGCTGCCGACCACCTCGGCCCGTAACTCACCAACTATGTTTACAAACGTCCCTCCTGTGTAGGAGTCAATGAGTTTGGATTTGACAGCCTCAGCCCCCAAGTTACCCAGTTTGCGCCGACCTTGGCGTTTCCTGTTTCCTTTGCTTTTAAAGATTGGAGTGCAGCTACTTGGTTTCGGCAGGTCACATTGTGGCCACACAGTACTGTGCGTCTCTCGTGAGCTTCCTCGTGAGGTGTCTTCACAAAGCACCCGGCGTCTGTTGTCGACTCTGTGTTCTTTTATGGTGATTGCAGTTGGTGACACCATAGAACGGTTACCTCTGAAAAAAAAATGTGGAGGCCATACTTTTTCTCTGCAGCCACAATAACAGACATACGTAAAACATAATACAACGACATTGACTTTTTCAAGGCAGTCTTTTTTTTTTTGAGCAATCAATTCGCTGCCAAGAATGAGCTATTATTTTGGAATTCAGAGCGCCCGGTTTACTCCTGCTGACATCCTCCCCAAAGATATATACTGTTATATTTTGTTGCGTGTAATTTTCAGTTCCATTTAATTTAGTCGGATGTCACATTTTCCTTCTGATTTACAGCCGCAACAGGAATTTTTTGTTGGGGTGGGCTCAGCGAAATGCGAGGACCATTTTGGAGTGCATCATGGTCAGCGTCCATTAATATGGTCACAGGCATTCTTGAACTTCGAACTGCCAAATAAACGCAAAGGCCCCTTAATATTCGACCCCAATTCAATAAAGAAAATCTGCTCTCCAATTTTGTTTTGCTGGTCTGTTCTGTAATCTCATTGCGCGAATGGTCTAGTAATGTTATGGCCAAGTAGTCCTTGGTATTTACATGGTATACTGTTTGCGGTGCACCTTCATTGTTGTATGCGTTTCATAGTTGATGGGTGCTTCAGATGAGATAACGTGTTATCACTTGTACTGGATTCCAACAGCTTGATGTATTTCAACACAGAAATGCCGTGTAATGTGCTTTGATCGGCTGCGCCACGAAACAGCATGCGTGGAATGTTATTAATTCCTATGCCTATGGTTAATAATCTTTCGCTATAACATATCAATCTGGCAGAGATTAATGAACTCCTCAGATTCGCGCTTTGCCGGCCGTACGCTTCACACAACATAATTGGTTTTTGCAGCCGTATGGCCTTGTGTACCATATGCCTACTGTGTACCTTGAACACGGCTCAAAAAGTAGCATTTATAACATGAAAATAATAATTTCATGTATCACTAAAATACTTAGAAAGACATGATATGAAACACAAACGCGTGTCGTGACCTCCCGTTGTCAATTATCTTGAATATATACATGTATAGTGTTGCGTAATTTAGTTTGGCTGTACATTGATAAGATTTTTGCAACCGAAAACGAGGTGTTATTTTTAGTCGCATGAAAAGAGTGTGAAGTATATTCAGCCAACTGAACGAATAAAAGACACATATGAAGGGAAATGGCGATTGCGCGTTTATACGTTCAGCAGCTCGCCCTTCCTACTGGACTAAGGGCTGAAGCACTTAAAATTTAACCCATTTAACTACAGGCACCTGTAATGATAGCCCCCGTCCCCGGTGTACCCGCGCCTCTCCCGCCCCAAAACCAAGAAATTGAAAGTTTCGCGTACAACACAGGTGACTCCAAGGTTTTGTTATTGGTGACTTCAAGATTCTTGAGGAGCGATCCAAGGGACATAACCTACCGAACCGATGGTAGACGAAGATGGTCAGATCCTGGAGTCGATATAGGCCTACTTGGTGTGATCAAGATGACCCTATCCTCCGCTGTCTGCCGCAGGGTCCGCCCCGTATCCATGACAGTATGATCCCGTCGGTACTGTTCCATGTACAGTCCAACGTTCTGGTAATGTCTGAAGACAAACTCGTTGGATCGGCTGTCTGAAGCGGTAGCCTCGTACAGCCGAGAGGGAAATGGTTTCCGCGGAATCCGAGACGCACCCACCCCCCTGTGTTTCGTCTTAGGACCAGCAACGCTCCCCCATCCAGTGAGATGTCCATCGTCGCGGGGATGCGCACCCCTATCGCAAATGCAAGGCAGATCTGTGGAGAGCTTTAGGAGTGAGGAAGATGCTTTGCTTGTGCATTCGTAGTTGCAGGTAGGAGAATCCTCAGTGCGCTGTCCTCTCACTGTCATCTTATATACCATTTGACAACATCACTACAGTGAGAAACAACCACGACACAATAGTCAGTACGACCATAGAGGAAGGAATTCTAATGCTTCTTCAGCCTAAGGACATCTCCAATCTTTGACTACTGTTGACACGTTCCACAGAGCCGATTCCGGAAAATCTTTTCAGTGGGAAGCCCACTGTTTGAACACCTCCACAGCTGCTATTAACTATTGCATGCTTCTAACATACACACCTTAGCCATTCCATCCCAGTTTTCTTTTCAGTGCCGACGGGCGCCAAACGATGCTCCTCGTTATATAGATGTAGAAGGCGATTGCGAAGTGTAAAGTCCCTAGACAGTTGCACCTGTCAGCTAAATTTATCTCATTACCATGGCAACGTTTCCTGTTGTATGCAACACTCATCAACAGCGACTTTATTATGAGTACACTTGTTCAACAACCCGTAACATCAATTTAGAAAAGACCAGATTTTCTGTGACACTCTGAACGTGTAGTTAAAACCATGTATCGAGAGACCTCCACGAAGAGACCATGAGCTTTCAAAGTAGTACTCGTAACGTGTACATGCCCGTTACCCTGGCCTGACAGTCAAAAGGCCACGTGAATGCTTTTCCGCATTCCTTGGTCCCTGCATGTGCACTTTGACCTTCGAAGGATTAGGAAGAAACCTTAGCATTTGGGTCGCAGCCGTTCGTCATTGTCTATTGTTCATAACATCATATTTCTTCCGTGATTCAGAATAAAAAGTGAATTTTTATTTTAGAACTTTTGGGGTGAAAACAAATACGTTCTATTTGTCTTACTTTGGCTCTTCTCGTCTCAGGAACTATTTTTTTGTTGTTATTGTCGTTTTCAGCCCTAATAATTTTCACGAATGTAAAGAACGCCCTCTTTCGGAAATTATTTTTAGCCTTCGGCATGCAACCTCGTCTTTCAAAGCGAGTGCTTTATGAAAACATAAACATACATACCAGAAACGGTGAATGATTACACATACATAAACACAGTGGGATTTTTGAGCTGTAACTTCTCGAAAGGACGTTTTAGCTTCATACTGGGGTTGGGTGTTCCTACCCTGTCAAACAGTAAGGCAATGCCTGTGACTCGCAGAGGCCGCGGCTCTGCGCTTGAAAAAGTGAGACATTTTCCTTTTTTCTGATGTTCGATCAGAAAAACAGTAAATTTTAAACAAAAATCAAGTCAAATGATTACAGTAACATAGCAGGACAAAGTTAATTAAAACAACACTCCAGACGGAACTATAGTAAAATATAAAGGACGGTGGTCACAAGATTCTTTCCTTCCAATTTAAACGAAAAAAGAACCCACCGAAAGCACTGGCCCCGTAGAGCATTTTGGAACAAGAATAAGACTTAAGGCGAGTTTAGTGATTCATTCAATAAAATTACTGAGCAATGTATTACCTCAAATTCTCATCCTCCAGATTAACGCTTTTAGAGCTTTTGCTGCATTTACTGGATAGAATAAGAATTCCAGATACATGTTTACTATACCTGTAATAATTTGGGATTCTATTCTAACTTTGCACACCATGCAGCGGCGTAACTGGGACACATTTTGCAGGGGGCGCTTCGGGGAACTTTGTTTTCTGGAGAGGGGCACTCAGTGGGTTCGACGGTCACAGTTTTTTAAACACAGACTAAGGTGTACTACGGTTTCCTTCTCTAATTTCTGAGCGGGGAACACACAGTTGGTACAGACCTCTAGCTGGGAGCCACAGTGCACAACGCCATGCTCCCTCTTGTAGTTATGTCACTGACACCATATCGAAATTGGCATGCACGCACATTCGTATCAGTATGAATCAATTCAAAGAATTGGATGTGCAGACCAGAACAATACGCACTTGAAAAATTAGGGGACTTCACTGAAGCAGACTTAATTCGCCCATTTTTCATTGATGAAAATGACACTGAAATTTTTATTATCTGGTGTAGCTTTTCATAAAGATGCCATAAGGCAACCCATTCTTCGTTCTGCCCTTCAGCATTACATGTAACACGTCTGCCACGTATTATTAACTGCACGCGCTCCGTTGCTATTGGTAACTAAATACGAAATGAAGAGCGAAATTTTGTTTCCGTATTTTGTTCCACTTTTCGAATTTTTCGTCTGTCTGGTCATTGTTCCACAGATTTTTCTTACAGACTTTAACTTACTTATGTCGCAGCAAAAGTAAGAATAATTCTGTTGAGAATGGAACTGGAAAGCAGAAATGGTCAAAAGAGGCCTATCAAGTTGGATTTACACGTTGGGCCCGTTTGAGAGGATTTGAGGCTGGCAGTTGTTTACATCCTCCCTGCATCTGGGTGTTGGGCAAGCAATAATTGTTATATAATTGACTTTTGTTTTTGCCAGGAAAAATACATTACGAGGGAAGTGATATTAACACAAACGTGAACCCTCTCAGCCATAATGCTGCATCGGTGTGAACGACCAACCATATGCAATTCTGGCAAGCGTTTGTTGTTTGAAAATATATTCATTATTTCAACATTAAGTTCCAGTTATAAGGTAATTATAATCATTTTAGTCGAAACCTCCTTAGGGAACTAAATAATGCACTTTAGGGTACCGAGCGTGCGCTTGACCACGCCTGGAGCATGCAGTCTTCATTACACGCACCAGAAAAATTATAGCCCGAAATTGCGCTTTAATTATTCAACACCAAAATATTCCTCTCCCCTCGGTTCGTGCCATTAAGGTCTAGTGAATATTTCAAGAGACAGTATGGATCCTCGCTCGCTCTACATTACAACGAAATGCGTGTCCGCGGCTCAATGACAGAAAGATGAGTTTGATTTAATATTCATGATCGACTGCGCTGTATCCGGTACAGAGCCCGGTGAGCTCCATCCAATTTCACACTGAACCAATGTAATGAATCAAGTGCATGAACAAAGTGAAGGGTGTGTGCGTGAGCTCCGTAGGCACATAAAATCATATCCAAACTGCTGTGATGTGGGCTTACACTCGGTGACTCTGTCAGCCTGTTGCGACCGCCAGCATGCAGCTATAGACGGTTCTATCTGTATATTAAATTTCACAACAGTGCAGTTGCTATAAGGACCGTATTGGAATATCGATTGCGAGAGTGCGAGAGCAGTTTTCGTATCGATTAAAGCTTTAAACAAGGATCTATCCTCGGTGGAAGCAAGAAATAATTGTGTCCCGACACAAAGGCAGCAGGAGACCAATAAATCCGCTGTATCATCTCGACGGTGTTCATCCTTTCCTTGCCCGAGTCCGTCGATTTTACTCACTTTGTCGCCAAGGAATTCCACGGAAGAACTCCACCCAAGCGTCCGCACCCCCACCATGCCGGAACCCATGACAGACTCTGATTCCCTGGGGGATGTGATCCCCCCTCGGAAGGGGTCCGGGGCCTCCCTCAGGTCGAGTAACAGCAGCGAGGGATCGGACAAGAACCTCAAGATGGGGGACACCGAGGTGGTATTCGTGGAGCAACTGAACCCCAAGTACGAGTGCGTGTTCTGCAACCAAGTGCTGCGATATCCGGTGCAGTTCGAGGAATGTGGTCATCGCTGCTGCACTTCGTGCCTGCCAAGTCTTTTACGGTAGGAAGAAACCGTTTCTCCTTTCGTCTGAATCATTTTTACTCAAAGTTCCCCTTCTATTTTCCAACGAAAACTTTTGTTTGTACCTATACCACTCTAATACTTTGGATGCTTTTAAGTTTTTTTTAAATTTTTTTAATACAACTATTGTTTCAAAGGCAGCCATTTAAAACAACATTTTTTTGTGTCCAAAATGGGAAAGCTTATCAGGGGATCTCCATGGGAAATGAGGTTGCGCCATTACACCGTGGTTTTCATCACGGGGATAATGGTCCAGCGGAAGAAATTAAATGGAAAAGGCCTTACAAAAGCCTAATGAAACAAACAAAAACACCAATCATTATTCTGCTGACTCTGGAACCGCATTGTCACAGGTACGGTCAAAACATTTTGTGTTAAATTAACAACTTCAATGTAACACCGGACTAACGTCCAGCATGGATGTTCACCGTTGGCACCGCAGTTTGGGCAATGTGTTAGGGTGGGCCTAAGTGACTAACTTAGGGGCGTAAAGGCTTCAGCCCCTTCGGCTCTGCTCCTGAATTAGAGCTATGATAAGTCAATGTTATCTTCGTTTTCGTTAGGACTGACAAACGCCCCAACATTCCTTCTATAGTCATTTTTATTCGCAAACTGCATTTCGGCATTGTCGTATTTTATCTTCTGCCAGTTACGTACATTGCATTATGTCTTGTAATATAATTATGTCTTTTAATGTAATTCAGATTGACAACGTTATTCTTTAATTTCTATGATAAGAATGTATTCTTAATTCGGATAAAATGATCAGACTTTTGGAAATGATCAGTAATTTATGCAGTTGGTGTTTTGGCCAACGTTAGGTATAATTTCAACTTGTTTGACAACGATGTCGGTTTAATTTTTTTCGTATTTTCACGCAACTAGAAAACCTGTTAAACAGTACCTGTGGAACATAAATGAACCAAATTGCTCAAAAGACAGTAGTTGATATCAACATGCAATCCCAGCTGGACTCTAACATGACAAAACTCCGGGATACGTTATTCTAGTCTATTTACCTTGCGAAATAGAGTTGGGACGTCATCGTGATGTGTCGTAGAGCTGTAGATGTGCCACCCAATTTGTCCTGATCCTGACATAATTTATTTCAGGATAACGACATAATAGCAAGGCAAGATTTAGATATTTGAATAATTTATCACAAGATGATATCATCCTGTAAGCAGGATGTGACATTATGAGAAACTTTATCACAGGATTGTGGCATCCTGAAAATAAGATGACGACCTCCTACACGATAACGTTTAATTCAGAGTCGTTAGGTAACTTATCACAGAACGAAGACACCCTAAGTGTATTGCTAACATTCTAAGGTATAATTCATCACTTACACTTCCCGAGTATTGTCAAGTATAGTAATGTATAATCTCAGGGTGTCGCTATCTCACTTTCAGCATGTCGTCATCCTGCCCCAGATAATCACAGGATTTTGACTGCCTGCTTTCAAGATTTTTCATCTTTGATGTATTATCTCACCATGTCGACATCTTAGCCCTGATGTGTTGTCATCCCGACTTAAAAATATGTCAAGATTTCAGAAAGTCGGATGACTCTTTTAAACCTCTGTACGTGTACCTGTGATGGAAATTTGATTGGTAACCTTTAAGAGACATTGTTAAATTTGCTATGAACGACAGAGTTGGGTATGGATCTGATTAAATTATACAGGAACAGATTAAAGCGATTTTAAGCATGTGCGGATAGCTCAGTGTATCAGTTTCACATCGGTGGCGTGGGCGTTAATGAGCAAAGAACTCGATTTGAATTTTGATTTGAAGTATTCCCAAAACTGACAGCACTGATGAAGCTGTTTAAAATGTTTTTAAAGTAGGAGTGGCCAACCCAACCTTGCATGGTAAATTTCCAAGATGGTTCAACCATTAGGAAGGTCACTGCGCAGTCCATTTATTGCGGGGCATCATAATGATAATTACATCGTATAATGATTAGCGAAGCGATTGTGTCAAGATCATAGGCTTCGTGAAGGCGTGGAGAATTGTTAACACGTTGTCATGGCAACTTTCCCGTTAGCACGTTCAAGGTCCCAGTTTTTGGAAATCGTCAACATAATGAACATTTTGTTCCGTACAGGTGACCAACGTCAGATCTTGACTTCTGGGGAAACGAAAAATTACTGCAGTTAATGTTTTCCACTCAAAGAACTAAAACGAATTGTGCATTTTTATGAATAAACAGTTTTTTCTGGTTTTTACAGAACAGTAATGTACACCAAAGCAACTATTTTTTTAAATTCATGTGCAAGAAATGCTGAGAACACGTGTACATGACAATGAACAGTCACCATATATTATTTATTACTTACAATGACTGTTGCCGGCAAACGGCAAATTGAAGGGACACTTTATGAGACAATAAGGAGCAATGGAACTGTTTGGATACAATCCCTGACACGTAGTTTTGTAACCCATCTATTTTTTTGTTTTCAGTCATCGTTATACCAGGTTGTTTGGACCGTATCAGGTTTTTAAACAAATTAATTTAAGTCCTCCAGTGAACGAAGCATGTCATGTTAATATTCGGTGTTACGGCTGTTTATAGCTTATAAAATTCTGAACATTTCCAGGATTTGGCCAAGGTGATGCAAGAGTCGAATGTATCATTGTTGATCCAGTAATTTGCGAGGAGAAAACGCATAAATGATTTCAATGAATTTGGGTATATACGGAAAACTTCTAGACTTTGGTTTGTGTTTATGCCTGACCTGACATCCCATCGAAGTCGCTGCAGATTTGGGCATGTTTGTTATGATTTCTTTTAAATGCCCCTAAATTTTTATTGTACATTGTGAAGCAAATTCTGCAAAATACTAGTAGAATGAAATGAAAAAGCATGAGGAAATCCTGTATTAAAAAGAAGTTCAAAACATAAATTTTGTAAAATCTATATTATTTCGTTATCAGGGACCCTTTAGATAATGTTAAGTCTTATTTTCAGTTAGTCCTTTTCCCTGTTGGTTTTACGTATCTCTCTTGGCATCACTTGAGACGATTTCATGCTGGACAGCAACAGTGTAGTTGATTGCAAGTCCCGAATTGTTTTTCACAAGAACAGTTTTAGTGACGGGGTGACAACTGACAACGGAATGCTTTTGTCGCAGTTCTTTTGATTAGCTTGTCAATTGGTTTAATACCACTGGATGACTTGTCTTGGACCTGTGATGGACTTGTGAGGACTTGTGATGGATTCAATTGCTCCACTGCTGCCTGGACAGCACACCTAAAGCCCGTACTCTTTCTTTTGCAGGGTTGCCCCTCGATGCCCATTAGACCAAGCGTCAGTGTCCAGAGACAGTGTAAGTCATAATTACACAAGCCCCCCTCCCTGTAATTTAAACATTTGTGCTAACAGCCGTTAAGTCAAAATTTTGTGAACTCCCTGTCTCAGCTGTATTATGGCTGTACTTTTGGTACGTTTAGGTCTATGTGGACACGGCGTTTGGGCGAGAAATCGGCGAGCTGGAGGTGAAATGCCCAAACCATGGCAGGGGCTGTGGATGGACTGGAGTCCTCAACGACAACAAGGTGAAACACGAAGCACATACCCGATGGAATTTACGTTCGACAAGTTCCCAATTCTTAGGTTTGAAATCAAATAGAGGGAATAAAAATGACGGAGAATATTTGTAATGGAAACAAAATGGATGCAACAATACGGGCGATTCACAATAGTGTGCCTCCAGTTAGAGTTTGCAACGCGTTGGCCAAGCACAGCTCGAAATTTGTCGACCCTTTCCAAAGGCGTATTAGGTGAACAAATTTCGCGCATTGTGATTGGCCAACGCGTTGCCAGCTCTTGGAGACGCACTATTGTGAAACGCCTGTATTATTGTATTATTTGGTGTGCGAACATCCTGTTTTAGTGAAGCGACATTATGCGCTAAAATTGCTCACTAATGAACTCTTGTGGTGGTATCCATTACAATTAGTCCATGTCGGATCATCACAAATCTCCTGCCCTAACCAGTTACAACTTACAAGTGACCTAATTCCAACTTCATTATGAAAAAACGCCCGTCTTCTTTGAACAATTTAAACTTTCCCCAATTTGGAGCTGAAATCCCCACGATAATAAGCTTGAATATCAGCTCATCAAAAGTTACCAAATGGAAATTATTTTGGACCTAAGGTTTTAGTCAAGATGTGGCTCATCTTCAGTTGAATATTGCTATCAGTTAATTAATGAACCTTTTCCCTTTTCTTCTAGACTCATTTCCAGCAGTGCATGTACAACGAAGTGGATTGCCCCAACGCATGCGGAGCCCACTTCGAGAAGCGATTCCTCGAGGCCCACATCAACGAAGACTGCACCAAGAGGATGATCATGTGCGAGTTTTGCGACAAGAAGATATTCTACAAGGACGAGATTGCCCACATGAACGCCTGCAAGAAGTTTCCCGTGCCCTGCCCGAACGGCTGCAAGCTGACCGACATTCCCCGTGAAAAGGTGGGGGTCAAATGGAGGTTTAATTTAACCCATTACCTGTAAAAGACGAAGCATTTAAACAAAAATGGTTTCAAGACGCATAGCTAACGTGCACTGAAAGGAGAAAGGTAAAATTTTATCTTAACACAGCACGATGATATTACACTTTAAAAAATGGAAAATGGACAAAGCGGAAAAGAGAGAGTTCCATTTTACGGACAACATTTGATGCCCCTGTGCACAAACCTTTATGAGACTTGCTGGGAAAAAAACAAGTGTTTCCTAAGTGCTTGGGAATTTTCCGAGCTAAAAATCACTTTTAAGACATGTTATCACTTTTTGAGGACTGTTATAACATTTTAAGTGAAAATTATTGTCCGTATGATGGAACTCTTTCCAACGGAAATACAAAAATTCAAACAAATTGATGTGAAATATAACGGACCCAGGCATAACTAGACTAAAAAGACAAAATCTCAAACGGAAAAATTAATTCGATTTTCTTTTCCTCAGGTCAAGGATCACGTGGATTCAGACTGCCCTAAGGCCAAGATACAGTGTCCCTTCAAGGACATGGGATGTGACTATAAGGTAATTCATTGTGATAAAAAAATGAACGATAAGAATTCAACCCCTGACAACTTCTTTGCACATTCAAACGCCCCTAGGAATTCTTCACTGTGAAAACCGCACAGTTGATTTAACACCCTCTTAATTTTTATTCAGCACTTTCATGCCAGTGTTACCATCTCCATGGATGACGGATTGATGCTTCTATTTTTCAGCGTTGATGCAACATGATTTATGATAATGGACAAGTCTGTACCTGGGACTAGGTCAGGGGCTATATGCATTTTTTTCAATATATATTGTAACGTCCCTGATAAGAATATCGATGGTATTATGACATGGATGGAGTGCTGCATTATAGAATGATATCCATTCCGTGTACTTCTTCAGTGTGAGCGACAGAAGATGCAGAAACACGTCCAAGACGAGCCAGTGGAGCATCTGACGTATGTCGGTGAGACGATGCTCAAACACACCACTCTGCTGGAAAAACACCAAGCTATGCTTCTCGATCACAAGGCAAATATCGATTTGAAACATTTTACAATAGAAGTTCCTGTTATAAGTTTGACACCTTACACGTTCATGATCAACCATTCACGGTGCGCCCTTCAACATTAAGTTGTAACTTGAGCAACAGTTGGGTGTCCGGTGGGCAGGAGGGCAACTTACCCCCGTGACTTTTTACAAATGATACTTCACAGGTGAGTTGGAAAGAAAGTAATCGGTATATTTATTTATCAAATATTAGCTCGAAGACCCTAAGAAAACAACACCAGCAAATAAAACCATGGACGTCGGGGCCGTGATCAAGGCTTTCGATTTTTTTCTCTCCCCCAATGTCACGATAAATGAGCCCGAAGCCGCATTCGCTTTTGAATGTGCACCCCCCACACCTTCACCCACCCACACACGCACCAAAAGCTGGATACGCTGCTTTTGAGCAAATGTGTTCATGCTATGAAAACCTGGATAGATATTTCTAGAACGAAATAGTTTTGTCGTAGTCATTGAATCAACCCCTCAGTTTGTCAGTGTGTAACACTGGTACTCTCCGCTCGTAAGCATGGCATACTCAAATTAAATTGGTTTCAAGGTATCACTGGCGGGCACAAAAAAAGCGTGCATGACATGATAATGCATGACGACTGTAGTGATATTTTTGTTCCGTTTTCGATAATTATTTGCATGCCGTGCATAGGAAGGCATATTTTACGTTTATCGACTATATTTCACAGTGCTGATTCTCCGAACTTCGCTCTTCCAGGATTCGTTAGGCAGCTGCGTGCAGAAAGTTCGCGACCTCGAGATGCTGTATGGCTCTCAGCTGGTCTGGAAGATTGACCGGTACGCGGAGAGGGTGCAGGAGGCCAAGACCAACAAGAAAGTCACTATTTTCAGCCCGCCATTCCTGACCAGTCGCCATGGTTACAAGATGGCTGTGTCCGCATGCCTAAATGGCGACGGCAAAGGTAATTTTGGTATGAATTATTGAATGCGTTTGAACGGAAATCACCAGTTGTACAGTGAGTTATGAGGGTTTGTTACTGCCTCACAATAAATACAAAACAGCCATCAAGTATATACAGGGTGTCTTTTAAAAACAAGGGAAACCGAGATATGTTTGTTTGTTGAATGTGACTCATTACTTTTGTAAACGGTAACCATCATCTGATTCATTATGACGTTCTCTGTCATACGACAGCAAGAAATCCAAATTTCTGTCACAGATGACTGAGCACGAAGTGGTTCAATGGGCCAAGTCAGAAATAGGTTCGTGCTCAGTCATGTGTAACGAAAATGCGCATTTCTTGATGTCGTAAGAAAGAGGACGTCATACTGAAACGGCTTGTGTTTAACATTTACAAATAATTGGCCACATTCAAGAAACAACTTAATTAATTTCGGTTTCACTTCTTTTTTTAGACACCCTGTATAAATGGTCAGGCCCATAGTCATACTTGTGCCGCTTTTCAAGCCCTATAAAATGAGTTTTGGTCTTTTCCGATGCGCTGGATCTCAACCGTCAAAGAGCCTCCTCCGACGTTCTTTTCCGTATCCTCATACCCCAGTTGGCTTTCAGCCGTTTCAATGATCCCTTTCTCCATTATGGAACCAAACTGTGTTGACTGACTGAGCATGTGCGATCCTTAAATTGCCTCAAGCATTATTAAATTGGATTTAATTGCACATACTTACAGCCCATTATTTGGTTCTTGTCTTCTCGACAGCCAAAGGCCACTTCATGTCCGTCTTCGTGTGCATCTGCAAGGGCGAATACGACGCGCTGCTGCCTTTTCCCTTCTCTCATCGCATCACCTTCACCTTGATCGACCAGTGCCAGGATCCCTCGGCCAGGAGGAATATCTCCTACACCATCAAGCCCAACCCCTGCAAGGAGAATAAACCGTTCCTCGGCCGGCCCTTGGGGGAGCGCAACGCCAGCTTTGGCACACAGAAGTTCGTGCCTTTGAACACGCTCAAGACGCTGGACTACATCAGAGACGACACCATGTTCATCAAGGTCCACGTGGATTATAATGATATGATACTCCTGTGATTTTGTTTTTCAGGGGCCAGAGACCCAGTGATGGGGAACGATATTATATTTTCATTGACCTGTTGTGAGTGGTGCCAAAGGGATCTGAGCATCTTTTCTACTACACGTCACAGCAATCCCTCGAAGTCCATCCTAGTTGTTAAGCTGCATCCGTGAAGCGGTGGCTTATGCTTTAATCGATCCGCTTTAAACTACGGCTTCGTTTTCTCTGTTACTGTTGAGAAAGTTCGTACACTAAAAGACGGTCCGTTTTCGAACACAGACTTATATGAGAGGGTTGAATACAGGCTTGCGTGATGAAATGTAGGACGTGAGGCCAGACGATTCGCGTAAGGTGGGGAGCTTCAGGAATTAATTATTATTGTGCAGAGTTGTATAAATGCTGTCAAAGAAAAAGTGCCACTAATTTGAGTAAATATTTCCCCAAATGTAAATTATTTTGTACCATACGGATGTAAACATGCAGATTCGTATTATCGAGTATTGTAACAGTTTTTTTATAGTTGTGAACAAAAAATTATTAGTTCTGATTGATAAAATGGCGAAATTTCCCTTTGTACATACACTCATAAATTTAACTTTGAAAGCTAATCGTATTTGTGTATAATTGGGGTCCATGGCTTCATGATTATAGCCGTGAGGTATAACATCAAAAACAGTGAATCCAAGCGTCAAATAGTTCTGTGCCAAAAAAGTGCACACTGCACTTTATGTCTAGTGTTTAAGGTATAAGACTGACCAGATATGCATGATCATGAGTGCCTAAATAAAATGAAGTTTTCTTCATCATTTTTGGTTAATCTTCCTTTTCTGATCTGCTGGCAACATGAGGAAATTTCAGTGTGGCCCTACACTGCAATGGCCGTCGCGGTTTAATTTTGCTGAGTCAGTTAATTATGTCATACACGTACTGAATGATGCAGCATCCAGGTTCCTCAGTTATTCTGAAGTCATACCTTTGTTCCTTTTCTCCTCTGCTCATGCATTTTCTTTGTCAACGAATACAACCTTGTCCCTGTCAGCTGACGGGTCTAGACTTAGATATCCCATTAAATATAAAGAATATATTTTTGGAGATACCTATTGGTATAAATACTTCGTACCGTATTTTAAAATCAAAAGTAGAAAGTACAATATATATAGTACTGCCGTAAAGATTGATACTTCTCTAAATCAGGTAGAAGGTGAAACAAAATATAATAGAAAAATTATTTATGCAGGTTTAATTCCTTGCTCATTAAAATGTCATTTCAAGCCTTTGTGGTAAAATGAGCTGCTACTGGTTGGTGTCATTTTTTTTATTAATTAATAAACTGAAGTACCACACAAATTTTGTTTCCGTTATTTCATGTTATGATAATTGTTGTATTAAGAGAAAATTGTGACATAATGTCCTCAATTATAATCTGCCCCAAGAACAGTTTGTTGGAAATGACAACACAACAAGTTTGGCAAACCGTATCCTGGACCAAGAACCCAACAACCTCTCGTCGGTGCACACACCAGAAACACAACTAAACAAACGTGACCGTGCTTCACTTCCGAGTATGTCAACCCGTAGTCTTGGCCCAAGACGGGATTTGCAACATTTTTGCTCCACATACATGTATATACTGTTCGTTATCACAAAAGCCCAATCGTTCCACAGACAAAAAATCAGTGGGAAACTAATTCGTTATGACGAATTAGTAATTCGTCATAACGAATTAGTTTCCCGACGAATTAGTAATTCGTCATAACGAATTAGTTTCCCACTGCTTTTTATGTGTGGCACCATTCGGCAGTCGAACGTTACTGCGCGAGATTTGGCGTTGAACAGAGCAGCTAACGTTGTACTAACATAATGGTAGAGGGCGCAAATCCATACGGACAAAAACCGACAGGTTAGCTGCCACCGACGCCTGTTTGTGTTGCACCACTGAGCTACAGAAACAAACTGCATGCATCAGTACCTTCTACGTTGATGACGTTAGTGAATCACAATCAATAAACGATAAATTATTATGACGATCCATCATGTCTAATGATGACGACGATGATAGTCTATGTAAAAACAAACTTTAACAGCTATTCACTGAGCTGATCTAAAACAAAACTTGATATGCAATAATTTAAGCCCAACTATGTGTTGCTTGTAACGGAACTTTTACAATCATGCGATCCACAGTGCGCGGAGATATTAGTTGCCTCGTAAAATTGTACCCAGCTTGCTGATGATCTACCAATGTCAAGTCGTCCGCGCTGAAAGATTTCAACGGAAGTTCACGAGCAGAATACGACTACATTACGCGCGGATCCGGGGGTTAGGGGGTCGGAACCCCCCCCCCCCTTCTGAGGCAAAAAAATGTAAAATGGGGAAAATAATAATGAAAAAAGGTAAGTGCACATATAGATGTAAACAATGCATGTCATGTAATGATTCACCATCGTTTCCGCTTGTGCACAAAATTCAAAATGAGCCTATAATCTCTGGCCTGACCCCCCCTGCAAAAACTCCTAGATCCACTCAAAGACTATCCAAGCCCAGCGCATAGCAAGGCGTGCCGTCCCGGTACTTTGCCCGTAATTTTTTTAAATCACACCGTATATCCTATACGGTTTTCGTGCTGGAAGAGAAACTAGTGCTGAGAATTTATGCGTAATTGGGATTTGACATGAGGGCGTGTCACAAACAAGCAAACGTGTCAAATTCAATACATGTCACTAGAAATTGGAAGACATTTCTTATTGCAAAGCTTTAGTTGCCGCAAAATGTCATGTGAGAGCTCCGTCTGCATTTGTACACAATTCCAAACGTTAACAAACCAAAATTAATTTCACCTCACGTCCGGGGCCGCAAAGCATGAAGTTTTCAGTGAGTCTAAGACTTTAACGAAGTTCCCTTCTTGGCATGCTTCGAATGCCTACAGGCAGTCCGGGCGCACCCAGGATTTGAATTTTTGAGATGATTCTTTGTTCTAACGTACTAGACTGTGTACAGCCAGCAGTAAATTATTTTATAGCATATGTCTTGCAAGGGCGGATCTGGGGAAACGGGGGCCACCCCCCCCCCAAAAAATAAATAAATAATGAGGAGTTTTCTTTAATCAGTAAGGTTAAAGAAAAGTGTTGAGGTTGTTTTGGTAGGGACAGGGCCATTTTGTTCAGGAAATTGTTTCTGAACAGCTGCTTAAATATGACTGGTGCGATCAGTTAATGCAAAAGTGCACCAGGGACGCAGCTCACTTGCCCCCCGGGTCTGGATCCGCTCTTGATTTCTTGTATAATTAGGAATATTTTACCGTTTTCATAAATGATTTGACGCACTTGGCCACAAAGCCATAACCATGCTTACTCGACTCTGCAGTATACGTGCAAACCGAAGAAGATTAGAGGAAATGATGCAGACGAGGTTGCAATCTATCTGTATCGATATCATTCTGTATCAGTATCATAAGGTTAATTGGCGGGGGCGGGGGGAACATCATACCAACGTATAGAGAGAAGACAGTGAGAAGCAGTTACAGTTTTAAACTTGAAAACGTTTGAAGTAACAAAACTGATATTTTAATTTGTTTATGGGGACAGGGAAGAAATCAAGCTGATTTTGATGATTACTAAGAAAGTGTCTTAAACCTGAAAAAATGCTAAAAAACACTCCGTGTGCTAATTAGCTATCCTAGTTCATCAAGCTAGCGATCACGGTGGTGAAAAAATTCTATCGTTGTTTCATACACACAAGAAATCTCTTTACAATCAGAGGAAGCGGAATTACTCCAATAATGTCACAAACTATCGATCTATCACATCTTAAGTCACAACTTTCGGAACTGAATACAGCAGCCTACGTACAGGCACTATCGTGTCGTGTTTTCACGGGCTCGTCCTCATGCATAACACACTAGGATGTCAGACAACTCGACCGTTTGCCAACTCGGCTTCAGACAACTCGACCGATGAGACAACTCGACCATTGAGACAACTCGACCGTTTGCCAAGTCGTCCGTTAGGCCAACTCGACTTTGACAGAGAGCCAACTGGACCAGTGAGATCTCTTTACATAATACAGTTGTTTCCCAGTTCAAGATCTCGAGAATTATTCAATCAGATTGCAGCTCTGCACAAATCTTCAAATTCCAGTTAAATGTGGTCGCCGTCCACCTTGTGTGATTGAGACACCACCGAATCAGTTTCAGTTTTAAACTTTTAATTCGGACGTTCAGGATCGGACACCTTTTCTCGGTTGGATCGGTTTCCGGAATAGTAACCACGCGAGCGGCTAATCAATTTTCAGCCAGAACCATTGTAAAGAGCTTATTTTCTAATGAAAATTTTCTCAGTTTAGAAAAACTTGGTTCATAAATAAGAATACCAATGAATTTTAAAAAAAATTGGATCTTGTGTAAATTGCGACTCAACTTTTTCAGCTGCACAGCGCGAGCAATCAACTATACTACGTCGTGCAGCACAGCTGACGAACTCATTACGTCACGTACACTTGTGCAACATCCGTAGGCCTATACAGTATAGCGAGATCAGTTCGCAAAGTACAGTATATTGCATGCATACACTTAATGCGTCATCCAAAACTAGGAAACAATATGCGTTTAGTTTTCGGCAAGTTTTAATAAAATGTAACTTTGAAAGTCATTTTGATTAAACAGATATTAGATGCAAACGTTTATATGACTGTTGAGTATGAAAAAATTATTTGGGATCTCTCGTAGTGAGTGACATAATCGCCCTATAACTATGCCATTGCGTCATTTTTTCCGGCTACCCGCCAAAATGTCAAAGTGCGAATCAGAATTCTGGCCAAAATTTCACTTAGGCCTATAGAAATTTTCCGAGAGCAAGTTTTGTTCAAAAAGAAGTTTACATGTCACTTTAAACCAAACCTGTCTGAAAATGTAGACCGGAATCACAACACCAAGGAGCCTTTAGGTTTTTATTTCAAGCATCTGGAACAAGGAAAACGACTATAATGCATATGGACCATACACGTGCAGCGCGGGTGCAAGATCGGTTGATTACGCAAAGATTGACTTACTACAGCCACCATTTTTATAAATACCTCAGAAATTAGGCTTGTCTATATAGTACATGAAATTCCATCCCATCATTAAAGCATACACGTATATTATTTACACCGTGGCATCAGTGGACGACTGAGCCGAGCGGACAGTGTCTCAAAGGAGGACTTGTCTCAACGGTCGGCTTGTCTCTCATTTCTACGCACGGACGGTCGAGTTGTCTCGACGGTCGAGTTGTCCGAAGTCGAGTTGGCAAACGGTCGAGTTGTTCGGACCTTACACGTTGACACGGTGCAAGTAAAAAGTAGGGCGCCAGCGCAGCGCGTTTGCTCATCGAGATCATGATGTGCTGATCCCCTGGGCCGTTTTCCAAACTCAACTTCGTCTCCGTTTCAGGCTTTGTCCCCGAAACCAATCCCCGATTGTGGGCCTGACACGTTTAAATAAAATTGGAATTCTATATGTTTTGGCTCTCTTGCATCATATTTGATGTTTTGTGGCACTATTAGACTAATTATTCCGCTTCCAGCTTCAAAGTTAGGTCGTAAAAAAACAGCTGACGCCTAAATGGAGCAGAAGTTGAGAGTATTGGAAAACGGCCCTGGATCAGTGAAACATGTTGAGTGCATGCGCGCGCACACACGTACACGTTCACCGCGTGGAGATCAATCGGTGGTGGATATACGTACGTATACGCGGACGGACCACGCTGATATGATCCAGGCCTCGAACTCAGAGTCATAACAAGTGGACGGTGGACGAATAGAAAGGTGAGATTTGTTTTGTTTCTTTTGCAGGAATTGGCGCGGCTTCTTGACTGGAAAGTGAAGTATGTATTGAAGTAAACATCTTCAGTTTTATTTTTAAAAAATGTTATCGCTGACAGTGAACAACTCATAGGTGCGGGGCCCAGCATGATTTGTTTGACTTGCAGGTTGGTTGACAACATGGCTGCACCACCACATGCGCCATGCATGATCCTGCCATCCTGGCATGCTTTACATACAGTTCAAGGCTAAAGTTGTACCATAGACCATTATTGTTAACCACCGTCATGAACAGTTCATACCCTCGCTGATAAACACTGAGAAACAATGCGGAAAGAGTTCCTGACAGTCTTGAAAACTGGTACTGTGGTAGGCCTA